AGGCAAACTACCTCTTTTCAGCACTATTTTTTTTTTAATTACCCCACCCCCCTTCCCTCTCCGCCTCAATTCAGTCATATCACTCCTTCCCAGAAGACTGTGCAATAGTGGAACAAAAGTAGGTTCATGTCTATTATTTATACACAGTATATTAAGTAGAATACGTGATGCTTACGGTTTAAATTTGACTTAGGAACATGAATGGATTTGTTAACTCATAAAGCATTTCCGTACGAACAGTGAAGGTTTGAAAACATCAAGCTTTGTTCGTTTTGTCTCAAAGGTTTTCCGCAGGGTTGGTGACCACCACACCATTGTCCAACACCTTCTCCCAAGACCTGTATCTGCAAGATATCTGCTATTTTATCCACGCACTTGGATCGATCGGCCCTGTCTTAGAGTCGAAATCTATGGAAAGAAGAGTGAGTGTTAGCCTCATGTCTCGAACCACATGAAAATAGAGATTTCTTTTACTTTCCCAGGTAGTAGCTACGACAAGCTGGCATCTTAGCCCTATTTCGTCCTAGAGAGGAGAGGCTCCATCCTTCTAAAGCCTCTTTTACATGGAGAAAACTTGTCCTTTGTACAAGGGTCACCCACAAGAGCCAACTTTTCCTTCGTTTCCTTACAACACTAATCGGAGCATGCGCTTGCGCTGTTGTTAGCTCTTGGCTCGGGCAAAGGGGTCACCTTTTTACACATAATGGCTCGTTGAATTCACGGGAGATTTTTTCTCCATAAAACTGGCCTTAGACAGCCTGAGAAAACAGCTGACATTTGGCGACGCCACCACACTACCTAGATCTGGATAGTGCTTCAAGCTGCTTCTGATTGTTCGTGCCGCGAGGGATATTTGCCTCAACGAGTATGAAGCGACCACCCAGATTTGGGTAGTTACAAGTCATTAGTATGTAATTTATGCAGAGGTGATTTCACTGGGAAAGCAAAAGGTGCTGTCATGTTTCTCAGCCTAGTATCTAGCATCTTTTCTCTTCCTTTCAATATATACTTCTAGCTGACATTTGCAATGCATTGGAGTATTTCTCAGTATGTACAACTATGATGTGACCTAACACTTACGAATTAGTACACTTGCTATCCGCTCGACATCATAACCAAGCCTGAAGGTCTTTTTTGTTTTTATAATGATGACGGATATCTCCCAGCCAAAGAAGCTCCTGGAATATTTAAGAACCACGCTGTTCGAATTGCATTTACTCGAAGACACCATTGTTATGACCTGTTATGGGCAGCCTACAAAATCCTCCTTTTCATGCAGTCCAAGCTAAGCCATTCCAAGCGGCGCCATTTATTTATATGGTGTATTTAGTTTCAACTGCACTGAAAATAGTTTTAAATTTTTAATAAGACAGCTTCTCATTCCAGATCCATGTTCGTCCGACCCTTGTAGAAATGGCGGTACTTGCACAGTGGCGTCGGTTAGTTACACATGTAGTTGTCGGTCCGGATTTACCGGGATGCTGTGTGAAACAAATACTCAAGGTACTTCTAGCGTAATAGCGGGGCTCCCACCCGCGCGAAGTGGGCTTGGGACAGAGCCCCATACTCATAGAATATGGCAAACCTCTTTTCGTTTGGTTGTCACGTTATTGACCGAGCATACGTATGTACGCGTCTAGAGATTGTACGGGTGGGGTAGGGGACACTATCAAAGGAAGGGAGGGGTGCCTTGGCAAATCCACATCTTTTATTTTTGACATTCAAAATATGGTCAATTGACAGCTGTCAAAACAGGATAGCCACTGACCGGTCTCATGTGTCAACTCACATGAGATCGTCTCACTGACCGATCTCATGTGTCAACTCATCGAGGTGACGTGGTTTTTTATTTGGAAGCTGTCCGCTGACCAGTTAATTGTTTTAATAGATCGCGATCAATGTTCAATCTAATGCTTTCTAGCTAGTTTGGGAGCACAGGAAAACTGATAATGCACACATAGTACATATTGGACATCAAATATTGTGATCAATAGACGGCTGTTAAACCAGGGTATCCTCTGACCAATATCACTTGATCGTATCGCGGGCTCAGGTGTCGACCCATCTAGGTCAAGTATTTATCCGCTGACAAGTTACTGGTTTTCAAATGATCGCAGGCTCAAGTTTAATTTTTTAAAATTCATATCAAATATGTTGTGTTTATGTCCGCACAATTAAAATTTTGATTTCAAACTGACTTCGGACGCGAAAATTCAGCCAGCTATTACAGGCTGCGAAGATAGTTGCTTTTGACTTTGCTCACCATGGTCACGCGTTGGTCACGCCCTACGTCCAATTTTTAAGCTCTGATTGCTCAAAATTTGACAGGTGAGTTCATGCGGAAAACTTATGAAGCATCTTGAATCTTGTTTACTTTGACAGCTGAAGCTGACAGAGTTGTTTTTATCAAATTGTGATGTTTTTAACTGTCTCTTTCCACTGGATGTACAAAATGAAATTCAGCTGCTCTCATGAGTCTTCTGTTATTCATGGCTAGTTTGTTTATTGGGTTTTTGGTTGAGAAATACGTCACTTGTCAAAGTCGGAAATCCGATTTCGGATGGTATTGTTTTCGTTTTTCACCTTGCTTGATGCGTAAGAGGGTTGAAAAGTCTGGAGCGATAATGCTGGCCTTACTTGATACCTTTCAGGAGCTGCATCTCGAATGGTAAGCCTGTGTAATTATTGTATTTGATGTTTTTTTTTTTTTGTGTGTGTATATCTAATTTAATGAAGTCGACTGTAGTTTATGTGGCTATTTAGTTCTCACCGGAAATAGAAAGAAAAGGTTCCAAAGAATATTTAGATATACTTCTGGCTGTAAAAGAAAGCTTTGAGCGATTTTCTTGCCTTGGGTTCATCTTTGAAAAAAGCAAACACCGGGACGCCGGCTTAGAACATAAACATAAGACTCAGGATTTTTAGAGACACTTTATACTTGTCTTCTTGAAAGAAAATCGTTGTCTCTCCATATGTTTCACCGAATTATATTTCTTCTATTGTTTGTTAGTAGTCGCTCGTGTAATTTTAATCGCTGTGCCCTTTGTCTTCAGTCGTTCAGTCAACATCGCTTGCAGGAGTATTCAAAATGCCGCGAGTATCAAACGCTTTTGAAGATTACACATCGATAAAACCATTAAATAAAAAAAATAAACATAATAAATTCTTTATAATGTTTCTTTATTCTCTATTAATGTTCATTCAAACACTCGACCACAGCTCTCACTGCAAAAGTGAGAACCGGCTGGCCGTATACGTGATTTTGGAAATTTTTTTAAACGGTTTAGCCGAAAGCCCAAGCGTGCTTCGATCGTCCTGAACATTGAATTAGTGCAAATGTATTTTGTATTGCAAAATTGTGAAATATCTGTCCGTGGTCTGTATGATAAAAACAGTGCCTCATAGTACTGTTTCACCTTAGCTGTGATGTACAAATGGTATAAAAGGATGGTTTACACGCACTCAGATTTGTTGGCAAGATTTTGTAAAGTAAAATTCTCGAAAGCAAAAAAAATTCACCCAGTTTTTTTTATTATTATTATTATTTTTTTATTTCCAGGCCGAATTAATCTATGGTGATCAAGAGCCATTATGGCTCTTAAATGTGATCGAAGATGATTGCCATGTTTTGGGTGTACATATAAGGCTATCAACTCGATGTAAGATTTGTTTCACTCTCGGGCTGTTTGCAAATTATTTTTCTCTAAAATCACTTAGTCTTTCCCTCAAACGTCACATGAATGTGCTCTAAAGTTAAATAAATTGTGGAATACAAGTTTATTGTTTGATTTAAATTATGAATTTATTAAGTGGAGCTTCGCTTTTAGCCCTGGCTAAATCTATATATTACAGATTTAACCAATGCTGAAAGCGAAGCTTCTGTTGATAAATTTATAATTTGCTGCAGACAATAAACTTCCAAAAAAATCCATTTGGAGTTGAGTTTGCGATCAGTTGAGGTCAGGTGTTGTGGTGAGGACGGACAGGTAGACAGAAGGACGGTAAGACGGACGGACGGACGGTCACGTGACCACCAAAATTTCTAGATAACAATAATGTCTTCGTTGTGGGGCTCCGGTCTACTATTAAGAGCAACTCCGTGTAGTTATAAACTAACACAGAAATATTCCAACTGCTTTAATCATGTATACTGCCAGCTAGAGCATTGCAACACAAAGAGAAAAAAAATAAGAAAAAATTTGTTATGCATCGGGTCAAATTTTACTTTCCTTCCCCAAGAAAAATCCCCTTCAACCTACCCTCCCCCCCTTTCCCCACCCTGTGGTATACACAATTAATGCAGCCTAACGTTCATTTTTCTCAGACCAAAAGACCGCCCTAGATTATGGTCAGTATATACAATATCGTCAGTTTTAATTGATCGATCAACTATATATATATTTTAAAACGTCGATTTTTCTCAATACGAGAGAAATTGAGGCGTATCCAGGAGTGCTAGTATTTTCCAAAAAAATAATATTTGGTCATTCAAATATAACTGCATCTCGTTTATTATCATTATTATTGTTATCATTATTATTATTATTATTATTATTATTATTATTATTTTGATGGGTGTATATGAAACAAATCCTACAAGAACTGCGGAATTGAGATCAAATTAGGATCATTCTCACATTATTATTATTATTATTATTATTATTATTGTTGTTGTTGCTGTTGTTGTTGTTGTCATTATTATTGTCTATTAAGCTCTGAGCTCTGGCTCTTCTCATCCCAAGGAGACTAAGGAGAGAGTCATAACCAATGACCAGGGGTCCCTTGGGACACTCTCCTGGTAATTAAAACTCAAGCACCCTCCTCAGAATCCAGATTGCCCCTAATAGGGTAATATTTGATGTCTTATTTTGCGAAAGGCAAAAAGATCGTAATGAATGGCGAAGTCTGGGAAGGATTGTTTTGTTTTGTTTTGTTTTTTTTTGCAAATCTGACAGCATCAGTCTCGATTAAAGCAACCATTATCGTTTCCTTACTCAGCGGTTGTTTGCTTCAACAACGGTTTTGGTGTAGCCGATAAAAACGTCTTTCCTGATACACAGATGTTAGGCAACTCAGCTGAGAGCAAAAAAGCCTACGCTAGATATGGTCGACTTAACCTAGCCAATGCGCATGGTTGGTGTTCAGCAAAAAACAGAAGAAACAAGTACTGGGATGTGTGGCTTCAACTTGACCTGAAGGAGACATTTCAAATTTGTGGTGTTGCCACCCAGGGTGGGACGCGGCCATCTTATCGGGTTGCTACCTTCAAGCTATCGTATTTTAACTACGAGGAAAAATGGAGATGGTATCTGGACACGGATGGCTCTGTAATGGTAATACTCCCTAATTTTGTTTTGCAGATATTTATACAGTTACATCAGTAGTATAGAAATATTGTTTTAGCCCTCTTTTTTTTTTTTTGGGGGGGGGGATCTTGAAAGATTTAATGAATGCCTTGCTTTTTTATTGGTTGACTGAAATCTAAGAAAAATGATTATCGGTTGATTTATGTCCAAGGAATAACTCGGCTGTGACTCAAAATTACTGAGGCACAACGTAACCATGTAAGTTATATTTCCTGCCGACTTAATTGTACAATTTTCGGGGAACAAATTGTTCCAGATCTGACGCAAATCACGCAAATCGTGCATATTTTCATCAAAATTAGTTCGAAGGGAAAGTAGAGTTCTTTCTAGCACTAAAAACGTTTATTTACTTACCCCAACCCCCTTCCTTCCTTACTTACTTCCTTCGATTCATTCCTTCTCCACCTCAATTCGATTCAGTTATTTCTCTCCATCCCAGACGATCGTGCAATAATCGAAAAAACGCATGGCTATTTAATAACTATTCCATGAGCGCGCGTTGGATATGAGGTGGTAAATAGCAAACGAGGCGCGTAGCGCCGAGTTGGCTATAACTATCTCATATCGAAAAAGCGAGAATGGAATATGTTTTCATTATTATGTTTTAAACTACAAATGTCTGGTTATTGCAACTGAATTTTAGTAAATTGTATTTTAAATACTACAAAACGACCGGATATTAAAGTGACTCGTGCGCCGTTTGCGAACTTAGTTGATCGAAAAATATGAAAGGCAAACGGGAAAGTGTGTTGTTTGTATATAAGCAGAATACTTCATCGAAAGTGTGCGCAAAAGGTATTTACGCACATACCTTCTGTCACATTAGGCAGATTTGCATCACGTGACGCTTAAGGTTTCACACTGAGTTAAGAATATGAATGGATTTGTTAACTCACAGAGCGTTGCAGTTCAGTTTTTATAACATCAAGTCTTGTTCGTTTTGTCTCAAAGGTTTTCGACATGGATGGTGACCACCAGACCATTAACCAACACTTTTTGCCAAAACCAGTGTCCGCAAGATATCTCCGATTTCATCCAGTCACGTGGATCGATCGGCCCTGTCTTAGGGTCGAAATCTATCGAATAAGGGGTGAGTGTTAACCTCAAGTCTTGAACCTCATAAAAATAGAGAACTGCTTGCTTTCCCAGGTAGTAATTGCGACAAGCTGGTATCTCAGCCCTATTTCTTCCTGTAGAGTTGACTACATTACAGGTTTAAAGGGAAAAAGGAGGCTTAATCTCTCTAAGGCCTCATTGATAAGGAGATCTACCCCAGGCTAGCCAACTTTCCTTTCGCTCCCTTACAAAACTTGCCGAACCGTTTACATAATTTTGGTTAGGGTGTGAGAGCCATTTTTTCTCCATAACAGCACTCACCTGGGTCAACTCGGTCAAGGCGAGACAGTGTAAGCATGCTCGAGAGCTATTCTCAGTTCTTGGCAGGGGAAGAGGTTTCAAATTTTCTCTCATATCAATTCTCAGTAAAGTTGATTTGGCTGGGGATGTGTCCCTCTTTCCCGGGACGATTTTTTTTTTTACATTGACTATTTTCCAATTGCCCATAATACACTCTGTTTGCCCCCCCAAATTTTGCATAAGTTATTGTCTTAAAATGCCTTTGGGAAAATGCAATACTCACAGGAGCATTTAAAAACAATGGTTTATGCAGAATTTGGGGCGCAAGCAGAGTGTATTATGGGCAATTGGAAAATAGAGAATACAAACATGGCGTTGGGTAGGCTGAGAAGATAGCGGACATCTTACGCCGCCACCACTGGTTTCCCAAGCGAAATGACGCCTGAGAAATGAGTGCAAAAATTCCATACTGATCACAAGTCAGTACCAAGATCTTTGTATTGCTCGTGATTGGTGGTGATTGGTCGTGGGGCGAAGGAAAGTAGCTGGCTTTGCCATAGGTTCTTGCAGGTGGTTAGGTAATTTTAAATTTAATTTTTTAATAAACCTTCAATGGCCATGGCAATGATGAGGACCACAATGATGAGGACCACTGGTTTCCCTTTAAGTAGCTTCTTTATCACTTTAACTGAATTATTTGATTTCTCACATATATATGTCGATTGAAGCCCTTTTTTCAAATTTTGTTTTCGTTTGTTATCGTTTTAAGTCAAAAAATGGAAACACCCTATGACAAAATATGAAGTTCTAGTTTTACCATATGTATTCTTGTACTAGCCCTTAAAAAATTACACCATAAGTCGATGATGAGTGAAGCTCAAAAGCTGACTGGAAAAAAATTTATCAAAATTTGAGAATAACTTGGTGGATTGATAAAAATATGAGAGGAACTCGTATATCATTCACTAATTTAATTTTTCAACTTCAGTTCTGATTGATATAATATATTGATCTTTCTTTATTTTTCTCTTAGTTCATGGTAATTGGAGCAGTTGGTCTTCATGGCCAAACTGTAACAAGCCATGCAATGGAGGATCCAAAACAAGAAAACGACTGTGTAACAATCCTGAGCCAGCTAATGGTGGAAGAGACTGTGAGGGCCCAGCAACAGAGAGTCAGACTTGTAACCCTAATCCTTGTCCAGGTTTGCATGGCTCACTGAACACAGTCAAATAATTTATTAAATAATGATTATATGAATTTCCTATCTTTAAATTGAGTGATAAAGAAATACATAACTGTACTTGAGAATATCATCACATTTGAAGACGCAACTTATGCACCTATATGTAAATCCCGTGTTGGGGGGGTAGTGCGGGCAAGGGGCTGGGATTTGATGCCTGAGACTATCCCCCCTGTCGGGCTTTTGATCGTGCGAAGCGACCCCGGAGTCGGGACATTTGACTTTGACCGACAGAAGCCTGGTACCAATTCACAAGTGGTTACCAAGTCTCTCCCTCAAGGCTTTCTGAAAGTCACGCTGTTGGAGAAAGGTGTGAAGTTTTCATTTGTTTTAATCGCCATAATCCGATACTTTAAAGTGTCATCTAAACAGATAATGTATATTTTGAGAAAGTTTTTATCTTCAAGTTCCCATCTGATTGTAAAACTCGATTGAAATCGAATTCCACCAAGAAATTCAGAGGATTTTTTACGGGTCACTGATCCTACCTGTTCCGACATGTTGAGCAGCTGTTATAAAGCATTGTACGTTTCATTAATATTATAATTGCAGGGTCAATCTTCCTGGAGGGATTTTGTTGTTCAAAATAAGAGATGCTAGCGGAGAGAGAAAATACTTAATTACAGCGAGTAATTTAACGGAGTATTATAGCATTGTTTGTTTAGATTTTTTCTCCTGGGGTGGGGGCTTTTTGACACTTTTGATGGACGTTTCGTTTCCCACCCTGGGGAATTTGATCCCAAAATTTTAAAATTTGTCAAATCCCCACCCTTTGCCCGAACCCCCCGTCCCCACGGGGTTTACATTGATAGGTGCATTATGCATAGAATATAAGACTTTTTTCGCAACTGTGATAGTTGCGTCTTCATCTGCGATGATCTTCTTGACATTTATTCTATAATAAACAATTTACCTCGGTCTCAGTCAGTGGAGGAGAGAGGCAATTCCCCGTGTAGACTAGCTAAAACATGATTTTAATTATAAACGGTTCAACAAGTACGTTATAATTTCAGGACTTTTTTCCTGATAGTTTGTTTGAAACAAGTTAGAGTTTCTATTACTTACAATCTTTTAACTATGATGATTCAACATTACTTGAGAAAACTTTTTCAGAAAAAAATAAACGACCTGGTTTGTTGGTTTCAAAATGAAAATAAGAATGGAATGAGCCCCTGCGCTACTTCGCTCTCTCATCAACGCCCTTCCTTTCTTCTTGAGGTCGGAAGGGGGAAACAAAAGTTGAAACTCTGGGTGGGGTGACCTTTCACAGAATGAAGAAAGGCCACCTCGAGTAGTCTAAAACCGAGGATTGTTGATGTTGTATAACTTTGATTTTTAGCTGGGGATCTAAACTATAAGGTCAAGTATACAGCAAAAACCTGGGATGCTACTCTTGCAGACAAGGGGAGCTCCAGTTTTACAAAATTAGCAGGCAAAATTGGTCAAGATGTAAGTACTTTGTAGTCGTTGTTGTCACCGTTGTTGTTATGGTCGTTGTAGTTTGTTGTTATGGATCACTCTTTTTCACTTTTCCCAATTGATTCTTTTTTAACTGTTTTCTGATTCCTTAAACTTACACGAAACTTCTATAATCAACAAATTGCATCTCAGGTAACTGAACTTTACAGCAAAGCATCTCAAGCTGTGGCAGTCGAAGTGTTATGGTTCAGGTAGTGTCTTCTTAGCATAATTGACAATTTTAAGATTTATATGTTTTATAAGCTCTTCACGGCGATATCTGAAACATTTTGCTTATGTTTTATACGATGTTTGGACTCGCTTTTTTAACTCATCAATAGAGAAGAGCTTGGAGAAGTGCCTGTGAGGCCGGTAGAGCCCCGAACTGCAGAAGAATGCAATGCGTAACCTTGACAACCCTGCGAGTAGCATCCACCCAGGCACCGTTACATTACCTCATTACTCTGCTCTGGCGATTTGACAGCTTTTGTTGTGTTCAACCAAACAAATTATTTGGCCATTCTAAAAAGGATTGGTGGCTTATTTAACCATGTTTTATGAGAGTGTAGACCATTCGGACGACACTCTCTGAAAATAAAGTTTGTTGCAATGCGAGGAAATTTAACGGATTCTTTATCATAAAACAAACATTAAGGTGGCTCGATGCAGTTTTTCAGGGTCATCAACTCCCAAGTTTGAGCATAAACTACGTCACCATAAACAAAGATTAGGAGAAATTATCACCACAGTTATATTAGATAAAGATGAAAATTTGTTATGATCAGGGTTGCAATGACATCGGAGTTGTCATAGCAATGAAATGACGCCATTACCTATTTTACTTGCAGCGGTATTTCTCGGCACTGGGAACTGTTCTTCCAAAATCGTTTACTGGAGCTTTTTCCTACAATAGCCGCCTCGATATTCGTGAATTTTGAGCGAAATCTCTAAGAGGGTTATCGAGATATTTTGGGAAGAAGTTTTTATTGTTAGAAATACGGAAAAAAATGGACAATCTTGATGTGCGACTGTTACCTGTACTAAACGAAGCGCTTTTGACATGCAATTTCACCTCATAGTAGTCTCAATCTTTTTAAAAATGTGTGTGAAAGATCACGGAGATACCTCCAGCAGATTGCTAGAAAGAAGGATTTGATTAGTATGTATCGGGGCCCTCTTGTTAGCGGTAATGTACACTTTCCGGTCTACTTTAACAAATTAGCGAATAATTTTTAAACCGCTCGATAAATTTTTGAGAAAATTTAAGTCTTAAGATAAACCGTCCAAATTATATGACTTTTTTTTTTAGTTTCAAGATTATTGATATACAGAAATGTTGTGTTTACAAGTGAGAGCCTCTTATTATTCAGCGGTACAGAGCACAGTCAAGCTTCTTAATTTTTTAATTATCGCCCAATTCGTAGTATGTCCTCACTTGACGCAATGGCAACGAAATAGCCCGGCATGCAAGATGTCCCGAGTTCGATTCTCGGCGGAACTTATATTTTCTTTTTTCTTCTTCTCTTCCCTTTTTTGTTGTTGTTGCTGTTGTTGTTTGTTTTTTTCTTTTCGTTTAATATATATATTTTTTACCTATTGTAGTTTTGTTTTGTTTCTTTATATATGTCTTTTTCATTTTATTCATTTTATTCCCCGTTGCCTTTAGTTATTTCCCTGCCTTCTTAATTACTTCTTGCCGTTCCTCCGAAGAGCAGCGCCAGAACTTGCGATTTACGTATTTCTAGTTAATAAAATTGATCCCTAGATAGACAGACTTAGGCTATATTCACACAATACCAAGTGGAATTTCGAGCGGAAACGAAAAACTATACGGTGAAGTATGAACACCCATGTATCTGTAGCGTCACTACCCAGGTCTGGGTAGTGCTTCTGTTTTAATCGTGCCGTGTGGGAAATTTGATTCACCTAATAAGAAGCACAAGCAAGATCTGGATTGTGACGTGTCATCAGTATGGAATTTCTGCGCTTGTTTCTCAGACGTCATTTGGAGGGGAAACCAGTGGTAGCGTCGCCAAATGTCGGCTGTTTTCTCAGGCTAATGTATTTGATATCTGACTATCCACTTTAGCGGTCGGCGCGGCTGCAGCTTTGCTCCGAGCAACAGAAATCGCGCCGAATATACCATTAGTACAAGTTAACAGAAACCTCATCCGATAAGATTTTCGTACCGACGCGAAAGCTATCCGCTATAGCCTAAATCAGTGACGTTTCTCGTTTAAAGCATATGAAGGCAACACGACGTGTGGCTGGAACCCGAACCTACAGATGAATAGTACAAATGGCTTCCTTTCTTTTCAAAATTTTCATTCATTGATTGTTTATCTTCTGCTTCAACTTTCAGAAAAGGAAGTGTGGTTGTCAGCTTTAACGTCAGTTACGCGGCAGTAGACGCGCTACAGATCGTCACAATGCAAGAGCAAATTGAAAGTGGAGGAACGTTAGGTGGTAGTCCAGCAGTGCTAATAAACATTTCAAGCAACTACGGTAAGGAAGTTCTGAGTACTCAACCCACAGGTTGCCGAAGCTCACTATGAAAACCCTGAACAACATTATTTTACTTAGCTAATTAATTATTCGCAGGGCAACAATCAGAAGACGTTGTATGACAATTATCATATTTCCCTATAACTGAGCGAAATTGCATTGCATTTGTCCTTTTCTTTTTGTTCATTGTTTAAAAAGACAAGAAAGACAACTTGGGTACCCAGAGTGTGAACAAAGCACCATTTTGTACCAGTGCCCGGGCACTAGTGCCCTGGTACTAAGTGTGAACGCACCCATAGTGAGCTTAGGCTACCTGTGCTCAAATCATTCTACATTAATAGCTAGATTAGCGTTATTTCCACAATTATTTTATTCGACTACAACTTTAAGAATACCACTATTCTTTTTCCTTTTTTAATCAGAATTTGTTAACTTTGGTGAGCATTCAATGGAAAAAGCCATACTTTCCATAAGAAAAATTGTTAAAGCATTCTTGTAGTCAGCTCATGTCGCTATCGTGCAAAATGCCTTTATTGTTTAGCAGTTAGCATGCATATATACTAGCGTTACCCTTGTCACTGAATCTCGCAATTAATCATTTTCGAACCACGTAAAGCAGATACGCACGACTATGATAAGAAAGTTCATACCTTTTTTTCAATTGGCATTGAAATTATCCAGCATTCAAAACCATTCCCTTCTGTTGATAAAATGACGAAAATAATTCAAACTTACCGCCTTGGGTCTTACAATGACTAGACTTACCTACAACGCTTTTAATTTTGGAGCACTTTGAGCTGGCAACGCAATCGTAAACTTTAAATCAGAAAAGGGATGAAGTGTACTGTTCACTGTCTTCTTGCGGCTGTTCCACGTACGTTCCTCTTTCTGCGTCCATTCTAACCTCGGCAACTTAACACTAGGCTTTTTATGCGTACTAAAATAGTTAGTGTCTGAATAGACTTAAAATGTTGTTGGAGACTATGTTTAGTTTCATGTTGTATATATCCTTTCCATCGTATATTATGGCCCCTTTTAAAAAATAACAAATGAGGTGTGGCAAAGCAGTTTTAATAGTAAGAAGAAGAAGAAGAAGAAGAAGAAGCTGGAACGCGCACCCTCTCGCGAGCAAGAAATGAGAAACGAACATTGAAAATATTAAATTAAACAAAGCTTACCATTATGTCAAGATCATTGAAGTCCTTTCAAGCAAAGCCGATTCAACCAACCGACGCTTCTCAGACGGTTTAAATTTCTAACGATGGTAAAAAGACACCATTGAAGTAACTGGTGGAAAGATCTTTTATACAGAAAATGAACACAGAATGGAACTCTAGCATCCAAAACATCTTTTCCGACCCTCGAGTGATGAGGTATAAACCGACAACTTTGCAGAGTTATGACTTGGAATTAAATGTACGAAAGGTGAAGACTGATAAAATACCATTATGTGTATTTGGGAGCCTCAATTGGGCTACCTGTGAGTAGACTACTGCGCATACTTCCATCGGAGTCTTCATCAATTTAAAACAGTGAGAATTTTAATATTGTATTAACTGGAAACGGTTTACGCCATATTCAGGTGCATGTATGTATTTTTTATTATTTTCATACTTATAAACTCAGCCATTTAAAAATGGTGGCTGCGAATGTAGGTATTGAAGTCCATTTTTCCTTTGGAAATGATCGAAACAGTGAAGAGATAAACTTTGTTGACGAGGATGACTTCCTTCTTGAAAATATCATATAAGCGTAAATAGATGATCGAGTCACTAAAGACGAATTTTCAGTCCAGCTGGCTAGAATCCAGTGAAGACTGAGCTGATGTAAACACTTTGCTCAGGTACCGATTGCTACAAAATGTGTTGTATCTACACTTATCTTGTTGTGCCTTAAAGAAACCGGAAGAAACTCGTATTTGTTAACCTTGAAAGGATTTAACATATTTTTTAATATTCCACTCGTTTGTGTCTGTTACATCTTTGCTATTACGTCACCACAATAAAATCAGTCTTTGCTAAAAGTACGTATAATGCTTTAGTTATATCGTCAGGGTTTTTCAAGTTATATTGTAAATGGATTTGTATTTGAAGACGCGATGCCTAAATTGTACCTGCTCAGAAGTAGTCATATTAAAGTTTTCAACACTCTACAAAATTTTGCATAATTATCGCACTTAATGCGACCCGTGAAGTAACAAATTTGCCATATCCCATAATTTTGGTAGCTCTTCTGAAAGAAAATTTTCTTCACTTTCAAAATATACATGGGTCTGCAGGACTCTGTGATAAAATACATATATACTTGACAAGCTATTTTGTTATCATGCCCACTTTTGTGTGAAATTAATACCTTATTTTACTTTGTAGTACCAAGTCAACCTCCTGCGATAACAGAAGCAGTCAGTAATACATCAACAACTATTTACCTGAAATGGACAGAAGTTACACAACTAAATCCTGCTAATAGTACTCTTCTTGGATATGGTATTGTGTATAAGAAAACAGGGGAGATTTTTCAAATAGGTTTCCTAAAATCCGTAAGCCCGGCACCACTTGAAGCAACTTTGGAGGATCTGGAAAAGTTTACAAACTACAAAATTCGAGTGTTTACTTTTACTGATAAGGGGAATGGAGTTTCAAGTCAACCATTCTCGTTACGAACGCAGGAAGATGGTAAGGTCAATTTAATTCTTGATAAAGCTTTGCTCATCTGATAACTGCCCAACATAATAAGGAATCTAATGTCGTACAGAAAAAAAGTAAAAAAAAAAAAATGAATCTTCGTGATCACGTGGTTGCAGTCTCACATACTTTCAAACTTGTTAGATTATTGTCCTTTTGGTATAGATATAGAAGCAGTGGCCCATATTTTGGATTTCGCATCATGCGCACCGTTCATGCGATCTCTAACTAAATCAAAATGAACCAATAGGAAAGCTTCATTTAATCAAGTCTGAAAATCACCCAACTTGCCCAGTTGTCAATACCAGAACATCAGTACACATTAACCATTTTATCTAATTTGGAATTTACCGCTGAAACAAGCTACCTTGTGCAATGGCTTGAGATTCTGATTTGCTCTTGAAATTCTACTAAATCAGTCCTCCCAGGTTTTTTTTTAAAGTATTTTTCTCCATTCTCCTTTTGTCAGTCCCAAGTCAAAGTCCACCAAATACAGTTGTTAAATCCACGAGTTCCAGTACGATTGACGTGTCCTGGTATGCAATCGAAGACTCTTACGTACACGGAATTCTACTGGGATACGAGGTAAGGTATACCAAGGATGACGGCTCAACTCACGCCTGGCAAACCATAACTCTGGATTCAAGTACATTTACAATCACATTAAGTGATCTGGAATATTTTACACGATACAAAGTCGTGGTTTGTGCCAGAACTTCTAAAGGATGTGGGAAAGAATACTCTGCTACTTCCTACACTTGGGGTGATGGTAAGTATAGTTCTGTCTACATTTTACAAGACAGTTAGAACATTAAAGCAGATGGTTGCTTTTATCCTTCTCCTTCTCTGACTTTTTGTAGTATAGCTTTTTAAAGGCTATTTATACGTAAGTTGCAAGCTCGGTTCAGTTCTAAAAATGATATTTGGTACAGTCACTAATCTTTAATAGCCTTGTTCTTCTATCATTGACACGCAAGTAGTGGTATAAGGATGAAAATATATGTTTTTTTGAAGTGGAATCTCATTAGTTTGAAATGGAAGACATTGACGTCGATGACATCATTGCCTTTTGTTTTTATGTCATGAATAAAATGAGGAGAAATCTCATTAAGCTCAGGGCACTTACGATTCATGTTATAATGGTTTAACCGGTCGAAAAGGTTTTCTCAGGGCTTTCCACAAGTTGCTCGAGATTTTCCACTAATTGCTCAAAATGTTGGTCAAAGTTGCTCAAAAAACAATCAAAAGCTGCTTTTTATAACGAAAGTTGCTCAATTAAAGTTGCTCGAAAAAGCAAAAACCTTTTTTGGTTTGATGCCAAAACATATAAATTGTACAACAAAAGTAAGGTTTCTAAATAGCATTTTTGTGCAATTTTGCGACGTAACCAAAGTTGCTAAATAATTTGTCCTCATTTAAAACCAACTGAGCCAATAAAATTGTTAAATGACCTTCTTCCCTCTGTCGAGTTCGAATCTTCGTTCACCATTTTGAATTTTCCCAAAAAACCGCTGACCTAACAACCCGGCTACTTTTATATAGAGCCCATGGTCTGGCAAGGGGGGAGGATTTGGCCCCTTTTTTTTAACAGGAAATTCATAGTAGTTTGCCGTTTGCCGTAATGCCGATGCTCAAACTATCAATTATCATTTATTGAGTAAGATGATCTCTTTTTCTACGCCAAACACCGCGATTAGCTAAGTGCACGGTGTTGGTGATCACAGCCGTAACAAAATAGATCAAATTTTGTCATCGTGCATACACGAGTTTAGAGAAACTGTAACGGTAAATGAAGCGTTGGACCCTTTTTTGGCGAACAGTTGGTCACCAAAATCGTGCGCATAGCCCATTGTTTTTGCTCAATAAACTAAGAAGATAAATGAGACATTATAAAAGATCAAAGCTGTATTACTAAACTACAATATCACGACTGTTCTCTGTCAAGTCCATGTCTACTCTTTTGTTCAGTCTTTTTCAGTGACTTCAGCTGTTGCAGAGCAGACATGCGACGGGTCTGAGGGGAGGGGAAAGGAAGGGTTGGAAGGCGCCTTTAACAAATAAAACGTTTCATTTCTATTAACTGTAACTGTTGTATCATGGATTGTCAGGGTCTGGTAAAATTTTGTCCTTGTGAAATATCATTTTAATCGCTGATCGTTACTTTTCTTTCTCTGTAAAGTACCGGACAGACCACCACAGAGTATTGAAGCAGATAATTTTACCTCAGAAGCGACCATACCGGTTACATGGACTCCCGTTCCAGATGGTCACGTCAACGGACTTCTGATAGGTTATTCCATAAAATATCAAAGAATTTGGACCGCCGAGAGGTCCATCTTTGAGACAGAGGAAGAAACCATAACCGTTATAGAAAGCGAGATGTCAGTTCTTCTCCCAGTTCAAACATATTCAAGGTACAAGATTAAAGTAGCAGCGTTTACTCAAGCAGGAATGGGGCCTTATACTGAATATGTCTACGCAGGTAGGTAAATGAACCGCAGAAGACGTTTGGTTTCAGTAGGGTGTTTCAAATAAATTTTTCCCAGAAAATAATGGTATATATATTAAAAAAGCACTCACGAGCTGAGTGACGTCTGAGATAAGGTCAAGAACTTGATAACCCCTTCTTCCTACTTTCTTGTCTAGAAATGCAAGCCAAACCCTAGGATATCTCTAAATGGCCTAAGTGAGCATCGTACAACGCAGGTTCGTTACCAGGGCCCCTGGTTCGTGGGTGAAAGACTCGGAATGCGAGAAGAAAGACGCTTCAAATAAAGTTATAGAAGCCTTTGTTACGAACTGTCTTGATACTGATGTCATGTATACCGAAGCCTGCAACCGGCAATTTAGCTTCTAAACTGAAAGAAACCAACGCATAGTATAAATATTAAACAAAATAACAACTTGTAATGCTTAACAGATGTTTGGAGTTCTGGAATTTTATATTTCTTGCATATCTTAGTCTCTTCAGTTCCAAAGTAAATCACAATCAATATTCCCAACTCAGATCACTCAAATCAGTGCTTATTCACCCGTTTTCAACCTAAATATGATCTTCCTATACTGTTATCAACAGAAAGCTGCCGCTGCCCCAAAATTCTGTACACAAACTACTGGTCAACATTTCCATATTTAAAGGTCACTGAAGACGATAGGCTTGAAGGACTTTTTAGTGGAATTGTCACAAAGATGGTACACGATGCTTGTGGCTACTGTCCCGCTCATGGCGATACAACCATCGATACAGCGACCAACGGCAAGGGAGAACGCGCAGCCAAAAGGGGCATATTACAAGTTCTTGATGACATGGATGACGTTCCACAGATTACCTTTCCTATCTACGGTAATCGTTACGTCACAAAGTTTATGGGAGACAATCCGTATATCAATTTGGTGGAGTCCCCTGGAATAGCTTTCATTGCAACTGCTAGGCCCCCCGGAAAGGCCGCTTTGAACATGGTAATGGCTGTATTGGGTACCGCTCCGTTGATGGTGTTGTCTGCATGCTTTGCTTTCATATCTGGATTTATAATTTGGCTCTTGGTAAGTTAGTCAAAGCAACAAATAACGTGAACATTTCCCCTGCATCAACGTTACTGAACCAAGTATCATGATGCATTTTACGCTGTTATGTGTAATTTGTAGTGAAACGAATGATACGAGATTCGTTGCTTGCAGGATACAAGGTCTAATCCAGATGAATTTCCACCTGGTTTTATGAAAGGTGTTGGTGAGGGATTTTGGTGGTCTTTCGTATCAATGACAACTGTCGGGTAATGTTACATAGTGTGATAACCGTGTTTTCTTCACTCATTTACATGTCGTTTTAAGAGATCTATCAATGCATTCTGTCAAAGCACAGTTGAGGCACATTATTACACAGTGATATATCGTGGACGTTGGCCTAGTACCTGTCGAAAAGTTGCATTCCATATACGATGGTTTTTCTCCTGTAAATATTTTCGGTAACTTTTCTTCGCTTTATTTTACCTCAAATCGTAAATTTACAAAGACAGTAAAGATTTTCTCAATCTTGTTGAAAAAAAAAAAAAAAATTTTCCCCTCAATTCTATCATTGATAACCTTTGGTGATTCATTAGCAATAAAATATTTTAAAAAGTACAGTTATCATATTTTTGATCCTTTTTGTTATTTTACAGGTATGGAGATCGATCACCCAGGTCCATTCCAGCCCGTATTTTCGGTATAGTGTGGACTTTAACAGGACTCGTTATTATCGGAATTCTCGTGGGCGCAATCGCCTCTTCGTTAACCTCCGTAAACGTGCAGAAGGACATCACCCTGTATGGCGCCAAAGTAAGTTCTTACAGATCGGCATTTAAATTTGCATGGAAGCTTTCGATACCTCATGTCGACAATTTTAATGTCCTCTTCAGCATATTAGAGAACTATCGTATTAGAATGAAACTATACATAATCGTTGATATCGACATAGTTTATTGTCTCTTAATGCATAACACCGATACCGCTAAGACTGTTATAATGAAAATGAGGGCGACAGCAAACTAGTACCGACACTCAATACTTGTTAGCATGACTAGTTCCCCATTCTCTTCTTTCCCACCTAGTGCCAAAAAGAGACGACAAATACTCTTTGACCAATATTTTGACGTTTTAGAAAATTAATCATGGGAGACGATAGGCGAGGATGTTCAGTTTTAATTTTAGGGCATCTCACGTCCCGATAAATAACAAAACGGCTCCAAAACTGCTTTATTTTCTCAAATATCACCTTAGACGAGATATTTTTTTCAAAAGTAGTTGCTCGCTGATTAAAAGCCAAACTACTAAGAACATTACGCTAAGAGATATTTCTTAAAATAAATACTTTTTTCAGGTTGGGGCGATACACAATTCTTCGGAATATCGTTTAGGAATACTGAAGAACGGAAAAGTAAACACAGGTAACAGCCGATATTATTCCCCTTTTTTTTTTTTTTTTTTTTTTTTGACAAAAACATTTGAATTTAATAAAAACATCGTTTTTAAAAGGGTTAGATTCATGATTAAGCTTTTTTGCTAGGAAGGGTTGCTGTGACATCCAGGAACTTCCACAATTAGGAGACAGGTGCTAAATGGCGACATCAAGCAGGAGGGGACATGCATACGTCGCAATAATGATACAGTGGGGAGGGATAGAATATGGGGAAGAGAGAAGACAGTCTTTTAACCACGAGCTTAAAAACACTCACAATTTCCGCAAACGGGAGTGTGTCATAGTCTGAGAGAAAATGAGATCGTGGAACATGCAAAGATGAAACACTGCGAAGTCACGCTTGATTGTCAAGCCTGAGTTAAATAGCATACACCCGTGTTAAACTGTTTTGCGTGAAGGATACCAAACATTACATTAACTGCATTTTAAGACGTAAAAAAGTCGCTTATTTATAATTTATAACGAACATTATCTGTAACACATGAATGATGCCACAACTAGTTAGTTTCTTGGTGATCTGGTCGAGTGCAGTCACCAAATGACGGAATGCAAAATATTGACAAGACACGGAACAAGGACCAGGAGACACTCAAGAAAATTGACTCAACTATTTTTTGATTGCTTAATTTATTATTGGATAATGGTCACCGGTCACCGATTGATTAATTGTTTTACTGATTGATCGGTAAATTTCAGAACATAAGTATACAAATTTAGATGAGATCAGAGTGGCATTAGAAGATGGCGAAATAGATGGCGCACTGTTGGACACTTATGTGGCGGCCGAAAACAAAGGGACACTTCTCGACGACAGGGTGTTTGTGAAAGACATTCTGGATTATCCATTTGATTATGGAGTGGTTCTTTCAGGAGCGGCAAGGAATGTTGAGCAAAGATGCCGTGATTACATAGCCTTACATATCAGCGAGATATACAAAATTGTAGAGAACAAGACAAAGACAGTTGAAGTAAGGATAGTTAAATAATTAGAAAAGGCGGTCAGCTGCGAATAGTTATCGCATCTTTTAGCCATTTGTGATTGACCTTAAAATTCCGTGCTAGACCTGACTTTGACTTATTCGCAGAGGGTTTGCTCGCTTGCTGTCGATGTATGTGCAAAGTCTCTCATCATACCATTAAAATTCACATGGCGAAAACAGGTGCTGTGGCTGTTTTCGCGAGGTCATTTGGGACTCGATGCCATTTTTTTCCCTTACTTCTTAATAATTTTTCTGTTCTTTGTAGTCATTAAAACCTACCCTAAGTAGCCTTTCCGCCCACTGCTATAACAACTGGAAACCTATCGATGCGATAACATTTGATATGTTACCTCAGGGTACGCCCGTCCGTGCAGACTCTTGAGGACTGGCATGCATCTTAATCAGCAAAAGAAACTCAAAACCGATAAGCTTTTCATTAATGTCCATAGGCATCCGATGGCGGTTTAGCTGAGAGTACTGGACTATTTGACCCTGCATCTCAAATGTTTCTTTTTGCGGTCGCTTCTCTGATTGGTCTCTTGGTAATGGCTGTGATTATTGGCCTTTTCTATCAGTGTCTGGTATTCGTTCCACGAGCAAAGAAAGGTATGATGAACAAAACCTATACCTGAGTTTGCAGCTTTTGGGGTAAGTAAAGCGAGTTAAATCAAACGGTCCAGGGGTAGTCCGAAGGAACAGCGGCTCTCTCTTTTCTGTGAAATGTTGGAAACAATTGTCAGCAAAAGAAAATGGTAACAGCTGGCTGTCCCTGACTTTATTTTACACAGCCAGTATGTACTTAGGAGAGACAGACTAATGTCGGTGCCAAGGTTTTGAAAGGCTATTAGCCTTCTCTGTCAAGTTGTCATATCGGCAAAAGACATGCAGAACTCTATCACCAGTGTAAGTAAAGCGAGGCTTACTTCCACTCGGGTCACATAAAAGTATTTAGCAGTCTAACTTTGGAGATAACAAGTTTTTCGTAGAACGAACAGAAAACTAGTCACCTAAACTTTTTTAATTTTAATTTTTTTTTTTAGGGGGGGTTGGGGGGCGGTGTTGGTCGATAAAAACAAACAAAGTTAAAGCCGGTGCTTGGCACTGAAAATGGTTATTTCGTAAATTTCAGATCAAGAGATGAAAGCATCCTCAACACATTTTGTGTATAAGGAAGTCCTCGTGAAAGAGATGAACGATTTCGTTTATGCTTTCTATTCCAAGCTGTCCAGAAAGATTGATTTGATAACGAATAAGAAGAAAAATGAATTGAGAGAGATGAATGAACTGAAAAACGACAGACAGCAAGAAGCTCAGCTTTGGAAATCATCCAAAGAAAAAGCAAATTCACCAGGAGGCAAGTATATAAAACGAGCTGGTGTGGCATATTTGCCTGACGATTCTCCACAACAACCTATCCACTATAATACAGCACAGAGTATTCTCAGTCAGCAAAAAGAGGGATGCCAGTCACAAATTCTATCTTCGATGTATCAGGCTGATGACGCCATAAGTGTTGACAGTGCTTGCGTTTCGATGACATCACCAGATAACTGCTCCCTTCACCTCAGTGACATCAATACAACTCTTTAGTTAAATTCTACTAGTATCCTATCACAAATCGAGCATTCTCATTGGTTAACGTGCATGCTATGTAAATGTGTTAGATAGCAATTATCGGGAAGTCCATAGAAAAAAATTACGGGTAAATAGCCCGATTCGGAAATGTAGAAGAAGAGTGTACAATAACTCCATTACTATGACAGTCTTTTTCTATATATATATATATATATATATATATATATATATATACTTAATCGAAGAAAGGGCAATAATCGATAACATGGAAGACAGAATCAGCTTCACATCATCTACTTGATCTTGTGGAATAGTGCTTTCAAATTTGCAATAGAGTACTTGTCGCCCTTTTTCGACTATCTGCCATTTGTAGAAGCTATCCACCATTTGTAGATACCACCTGGCAATATTTCCATCAAAAGTTCTGTCAAGAATTCTTGACTTGGTAAAGACAACAAAGTTTTCATGAATTCAAGGTGCGAAATTTTTACAGCCAAGCCAGTTCAAGCGTATCCCCTAAGACTGGATTCATGAATTTTATTCGAAATATAAATCCGTTAGTAGTTGTAGATTCATCATTCTCTGCATTCCTGCATACGTAATGAACAGTGAATTCACACGCGAGGTAGTTATGAAATTTCTAATAATATAATACATAATGGCCTTTACGCGGTGGCTACGCCAGAAAGGGATACCTTTTTCAGGCTTCAGGTATCTGAAAGGGTGGGGATTTCACTAGTTGGAGCACATAACAGGGTAGGGAAATCTGTCATTTCGGTTTGTTTTCGTCGCCCACTTGGGTCGCTCATATCACTCGCTTCGCGCACGCGCCTTAGAGTTACTGAAAAATTACTCCTCTTACAACTAGTAAAGAGAAGTATTCTTAGAGCGAGTTTAGAGTCAGTTGTATTAAAAAAACCTGAATTCGGATGCGAGATGAAATAAGTAAGCTTCGTCAGAGAAGTGCTTACGTGCTTAGTAAAGCCTCAATTTGGAAAATTCTGAAGATGAAGATGATTGACTGATTGATCGATTGATCGGATTGATTGAACATTCATCCGATCTGAACTGTGGCAAAAAGAGAAATCCAGTCACTATAAAGACAGCTATCCCGGTTTGTAACACAGCACATTTTCTTATTGTTTTTTAAAAGTCAAATACATAAGTTAACAATATAGTCAAAAAACATATACAATTTTTTTCTTGTATTAAAGCAACTGATGTACATGCTATGCTATACCTGTGGGCCGAGAATTAATAATCCGAACCTAGCAGTAATAACCATTAAAAATGGAACGTTTTGAACGTTTTCCTTTGCTTGTTTTTTTTATTATTATTTTTTTTTTTACGGTTGTTATTACTTGTATAGATACAAACAATTCTTAGTTAATTGACAAGTGCGAACGGCAGCATTTTAAGCCTGTAGCAAGTCAAATGGTTTGCGACGTACTGTTCGAGAAGGTACGGAAAATATGCGCTGTGTTTTCTGGCGATGCAATTTTCTTATTTTTTTTAGTCTGTTCAGCAAACTTTGATATACTTTGTAGCAGTTCGTTGTCCAACCTACCAAATAATAGTTTTATGATCATATAAAAGACTCCCACTCGGTTAGTTCGTGTTAATGCTAAGCACCCTTGGTGTCGTTCCAAACGCTAACAAAATAACAAATCATGAAGAAGAAGACAGTACAGGTTATCTACGAGATAGAAATGAAAACAAATATATACCGTAAAATTCCGAAAATAAGCCCCTCCATGTATAAGCCGCCCCCCCCCCCCCAAACCGGTAACGCAAAAAACCCTTCGTTAAATATAAGCCCCCCCTTCCCCCCTCCAGGGGGGCTTAAATTTGAAAAACTGCCCTCAAATACAAAGTAAAACAATGCAAAAACGGTAAATTTACTTCTAACTATAAGGCTAGCTCAATCGAGTTTGAAACGCAAATTTCCCTCCGTAGATAAGCCGTAGGTAAGTCCCTCCAAAAATAAGCTCCTCAAAAAGGGGCTTTGAAAAATATAAGCACCGGGGCTTATTTTCGGAATTTTACGGTAAGTAGGGGAAAGTCGTAAGTAGTTCGCCCGGGGAGAAGAGAAGATAGTTCAAAATCATTCAGCTTAAAAGTTGATTATTCTATGTGCTAGGTTGAATCCTTTTTATCAATCGAGCACAATAACGTTTCACAGTTTGAAAAAGTAAAGCAAAATCGCGAGTTCCTTGTTCGCAACCCCCCAAAGCGGCCATTGGTGGACACAAAACAATGAAATAATTTTCGAAGAATTCCCGTGAAAAAAAAGGAGTTTAATTTCCGGCGGAGAGAACGCTTTTTGTTCTTGATTGCTAGCATGGACATCGATTCGATAACGTTCGATGACGTTATTCTGCAAACCGTTAGCAACATGAGGACTCGGAGTTAACTGCTCTGTCCAGTCCGGGTGACCAGAAAGGCTGGGAACAACAGTTATGTTCGCTGGACAACAGAACGTTCAAACTCGAGTAACTTATGCTTATATAAGTCTCATTTAAAACAGGAGTTCAAATTCCGCAGGATTCATTTGGGACACCAAAACGGCCGCCATTATATATAGGCCACCTGACGAAATAGGAATACGCTTTATGCACCTTTAAAGGTATACCCTCATTTCATATTATCTTACCCTGATTACGCATACATGAAAACAAAATAAAAAACAAACAAACCAAATATTACTAGGTGTTTCAAAGGTTCCTTCCGATTGATAATTGTATTTTTTGAAGAGCATTTAATACTTCATTAGGCAAGTTTTAAACTGATTCAGGTAAGAAATTTATCTAAATAACCCTTCAAAGCAATTTCAATCCAACTGAAGAAATTATGTGCGAGTGCGCGTGCTTTTCACGCCATATTTTTCCTGCCCATTTTGTACGTTTGCCCCTAGTATTTTCGTATTTATGGCCGTTTTCTTTAATTTTCTGTACACTTACACGAAAACGAAGGCCCACACTGTTTGTGGTAGAGCTCAGGCATCTATCTTTTTGAAGAAGACTGAACGATGATATGGGTGAAAAAGTGGTCAGAAGGAAACACTTAAAGACGGCAAACCAAGGAGTGGATGGCCGTTTTTCCCGGTCTTTTTATTTTTGTTTTTGTTTTTTCACAAACCGTCACAACCGTGTGAGAAATGTTATACAAAAAGCAATAACAAATCAAAGTTTCGAGAACAACGGTATGCATATTTATCTGATTTATGACCAACAATTTCGCAACAAAGGGGGCAAAGCCATGACGGAAGAGAAAAAAAACGATGCACGCTTCAGACATGGTGTCAGAAAACCTTGCAAACTCATAGAAAAGGTCGACCGTCCGGCAAACTCACGTGATACGAGCCCCATAGCGACCATCTGGAGTATCTGACGAGACAACATATTACAAAGATCCATCCCCCAAAACACAGGACAAGCTGAGACAGCTACCACGCTTCGCCTAGAAAAAAATGTGACTTTAGACATGCTTCGGGAGCTCTATTCTATACCTCACAGTTTAGAAAATATCAGACAACATAAAGGAGAACATTCTGGTCACTAATATTTCAGTTATTTAATTTCAAATAAATAAGAAATTGTATACTTAGTCAGTTACAAAATGTATTTCAATAGTCAGTGAAAATTAAGCGAAAAAAAAACAGAACGAACTTTTGAACAGACTGTAGAACGAAACCTCATCGAAATATGACGACAAATATTACATTGTTTCACATGATGACAAGGCGGCCATTTCGTTGAACCAAAGCAATGAAACGGCGACCATGTTGGTGTTCCTGTACGGCAAGATCTCTTTTCCTTTACTTCGAACAATTTTCCAAGACGCTAACCTCGTGCCTGAAAGCGGTGCGCGTCAATTAGTTAGCTAACAGCTTTAGCATGGCCAAGAGAGAATAGTTCATTCATTCTCTCTTGCCATTGGCCCCACAAACTGAATTCAACCATAGCCTCGTTACACACAGTTTATTTGTTTGTTTATTTAGTTTATTTTCTTTACTTTTTGATGAATCCTATTGTATTACGAATTAATCAAATTTACCTATTGTCCAAACAAGGCCTCAGTAAAATATGATGCAGTTCACATGCTATTAATAATTCTTAATTACGGTGAGCATAGCAGGCAATGATGCCTTTGTTTGTAGCGTATCCCTGACCGAAACGGATCAATTCCTCAATTGCTACCTAGCAACAGGGAGCTTAAGTCGCGACAATGACGACGATAAAGAGAACATTAATAAAGTGATAGGTTAGTTATGAACAAAACAACATGCCTTTCGATTACATTCCAACCTCGCCTTCCGTGCAAGATTTCGATGGAAGTGCAACGTGCAATGTGTTTTTGAGGACGCATTTAAAACACGAATTCGAACCTTTTTTTTTTTTTTTTTACGATTTTTTCTAAATTTGGGTGTGGTCCCCAATAATTCCACTCAGAGAAAATTAATCGAACGAGTGAGCGAAGCGAACGAGTAAAGTTTCTGATACAAAAACAACTAGTGCGTAAATACCGTACAAAGCATTTTCCATGTGGTATTGTGTTTATTATATACATACTGAGACATTCATCATTTTGGCGCCTTTTTATTTTAAATCTTTCAAAAATGCTAAGATTTGCCGCTACACACTTACCGCAAAAATGACAACGAAAACGAAGTATCAGCTTTTTAGTAAAAACGTTTGTTAAAAACATAAATGACAGTGAGGATATGAGGTAATCCAAGAACTATAAGTAATCTTAATTGTTTGTTCTCAATGCACAATCGCAAATGAGTGAATTTAAGTAAAATGGCTGGTTTCAATTCAAGCTTAAGCTTAAATGAAAGGCAAAGTAGCTCAGACAAAAAACACAACAAAAGCTTACGTCTCGTTCTGTTTATCCCTTTCCGCTGTTGTTTCGCCGGACGCCGGCTCTCTACCATTTTCTTGACAGTGAAACAAACGAAATTATTCCACTCCATTTCCGAAATGTTTTTCACTTTTTTAGCGGGAAAAACTCTTTGAGTAAAGCTTTCCTAGTTGAATGTGTGCGAAGCGGCGCTGCAAGCTGCAATAAAAGGCGGGAATTTTGGCGCGAAACTGGCACACCTCTGTCGCTTCTGATTGGACATATCATTTTTCTCACACGTGAAATCACATCTTTCGCGATTCTGATTGGAAGTATCATTTTTTTCACGCGTGAAAACCATCGTTTGTTCCTCTGATTGGCTAGAACTAATTTGCGTACGAAAATTTACGACGTAGCTTTTTGGTGAGTACTTCTCAGTATGAATATAATAAATTAAGATCTCTCTATTTAAATAAATCACCCAGCCCAGGAGAGGCTGGCCAAACCACCGCGCTCTGCGTCCCGGGTAGACGAGTTGGTGTCTAAAAAAACGCAAATTCATGTTAAAAGTTGCGTTTTTGCACCTCTGCCAACTCATAATGTAAATAAACTGCAGTGATGAATCAATAAACAGAAGAACAAAGTTTCCATACAAAACCTGTTCAGCCATACAGAGCCATACTCGTTCTTTCATTTCACAATTACATTCGAAATTCGCATTCCACCTTTATTGGCCATTCTAATGGCTCTACAATTGTGAATTACGTTGTTGTAACTCCTCTCCCATCCTAGTATTAGCTCAATACGGGATTTGTTTTCTTTCCCTGTACTTATGGATAATTTTTTAAACAAGTAACATCCAACATGAACCCCAAAGCTCTGAAACTGTGACTGTTGACTCTTAAACTCTTTTCAGTGATATGAACTGTATTTGTTCTATACTGGTTTCGGCACTTCTTTTCTTCCTGTATCTGCGAATTAAGATGTGGTTACTGCCGTTGCTGTAATCTCCAGCTAACGCATACATTACGCATTTGACTCTCTTTCCTCCATTTTCCAGTCAACTGCCGATAACTTGCAATCGCTAGATATTAAAGGATGCTGGGTGCTACCCAAACTTGAGGAACACCAGGGGTTGCATGCACCTAAGCCCATAGAATTTGGCGAGTTCCGCTGATGAGACTGTTCTTGAACATTTTTCATCGAGCTGCTTAGTTGGACAATTTCCCTTAGTCGATCAGACTGCTTTTCTTTCGTCCAGTTTGACACTGTGTCATTACTGCAGACTGACTCTTCCAAATCTTTCTTCCGTTGCTTGAAAGATTTTTCCCCCACCGTCATGCGCTTCAACTCTTTTATCATGTCTCTAATCTCGCGCTTTTGCCTCTTTTTAATGGAACAAATTTTGATCTGCACGTCTCTGTAGAATGAGTCCACAACTTCTTTTATTTCTTTTAGCAGGGACTCCTTGTAAAAAAAATGTGACCCAGATTCTCTCAACTTCTCCTCTGAAATAATAAAATAGTATCATCAACATTTTTTTATTTTTGGAAATTCAATGAAATTTATTGACCTCTTTTGAAAAGGGATTTCCTCAGTGTATCCTTTACACGTTTGCTTTGGACAAAGAAAAACTTGTAAGCTTGGCCTCAAAGTATAACATTCCATACAAAGCCCATACAAGTCTTATACACTTCTTTTTATACATTTATAATAATAAATAACGCTCTTTGGCAGATGGATCACCCAGCCTGTCATTGTCACATTTTATGCACAAAAAAGGATATATGTCGTCAAAAATACTAAATTCAGCTCTGCATGTTTTCTCAAACTAGTTTATAAGAATTGTGCCATAGTGTAAATTCCAATTCACCGTGACTTGAACGTACAAGGAAGTTAGCGCTGACCTATAGGTTCCAGGTTCAGTAACCTTATTTGCAATTTTTTATCCTTACCTTTGTTTTTGCTCGGAACATAGATACAAATATGATAGGATATGCCGACCGCGACAGCTACTATCAAGGTACCCGCCAGAGAAGCAACTGACATAAGAAACATTTGTGATGAGCTGTCAAACAATCCTGTACTTTCATCGACCTCTGCATCTGCCGAGTGTGCCTATAAAACAACAATAACTTTTAATTATTGAAATCTTTCATATAATTATTTAAAAAATTCAAAATATTTCTCCGCTTCCGATTGGCTCAAATTCCTCTGCTAATTCTTCATAACCAATGAGCGCTGACCGAATTAAAAAATATTTTCAGTTGTTGTTCATTCAAAATATTTTTCCGTTTCTGACTTGCTCAAATTCCTCAGCTAACTCTTAATAATCTGCTAGCGCCGACAAAACTTGGAATTTTTTTCCGATAATTGTTAAAATGAATGACTTCAATTGTGCAGCCGCTTTTGCCAGAAAAAGGTTGCTAATGGCAAATACGCCGCCGAAAATGTGCAAGCTGAGGAGTAAGTCAAGGACAAAGTTGGTAAATGCCAAATTTGCCTTGCCTCCTGACTTACAAGCCCGTGTAAATTAGTAGAGGTATGCAAATTTGCCCATCAGTTTGCCCATTTTTGCAACCTATTTTTTCAAAAAGAAACAGCTGAGCTGCTGCCTAGGTCGAAAAACAGCAAGAACCGCAAAAAATGCAAGTTGCCAAGGAACAGAAGAAGGGATGGGGATAGGTACATCCACCAAGGTAAGCATGAATTACTTTGAATAATAAGGCTGTACAATTACTGGACAAAAAAAAACTTAATGTATCCACTTCCAAGTGGTGGCCATTAAAAAATCCAGGCCTTTCTAGTTTGCTTGTGGGTAATAGGAAACTACCCGAAAGATTGAATATTTTTGTACCAAAGACGCATTATACACAAGGAACGAACAAACGAGATTTTCATAGAACGTACTCGTAAGATAAGAGGCAACAAACAAAATGTGCTTCCGGATGGCTTTAAATTTAAGTAACATGCTTCTCTAGTACGTAAACAGTAATTATTTTTTTGATTATTCATCACGGCTTGCTATCTCATCATCGTTTCTGGGTCATCTGCTTTTCTTTTATATAATTTTTGGGGGTATGTGCGTGTTTTTATTTTTTTTTATTTTTATTTTTTTTTTGGCCGGGGGCGTATAAGCTCTCATAAATCAGAGTTTGGAGTAAGCGGTAGCAATCAATCACTACTAAAATAACTCACATCTAATGTCTTGGTGGTATTCTGAATAATTTGAAATATATCTGTGATTTTCATGTGGATGTAATCCCTGCATCTCAGTTCTACATTCCTTGCAGCTCCTGACAACACCACCCCATAACCAAATGGCCGATCGAGTATTTTTTTGACAAAAATTCTGTCACTTAGAAGAGATTCTTTATGCTCAGCGATGACGTAAGTATCAATCAAGGCTCCTTGGATTTCTCCATCTTCCAATGCCATTCGAATATCATCCAGATTGCTATACTGGTGTTCTGCAGGCCAATAGTAAACCCCATAAGTAACGCATAAGTATTTCATGGCACGACAGATAACAAAAAAACTATTGCAATTGTCGTATAACATTTAGAATAATAATTATGCATTTCTGATATTAAGTAATAATCGTCATAATTTTATCAACTAATCATATCAATTCATAGCTATCGAGCGCTTATACAGTGTAGGTACGGTGCTCTTAAACTTCTTGCCGCTTTAAAACACCTTCACCAAAAAGAACAGAAAAGTAAAAATTTTACCAGCAGATATTTTTTTTAGAAAAACAGATCTGATGAAGGAATGTTCGGATGAGCGGGTAGCAACATAATGCGATTTATGGACATTCTATGGCCATTTCACCGTTTTTTCAGTTTAATAGGTGCCTCAGAACTAAAAGATCGATCGCCGTACGTTTTCACGCATGAACATCGGTATTTGATTTCTGATGCTTACGTACCGGAAGCCAGTGAAGTTCAGAAAGAAAAGAAGTTTAATGGCCTTACTTTGCTTTAGTTCCAAATCAAACAGTGTAGAAAATTTATATTTCTGGAAGGGAGAGGGGGAGGGGAGAAGAGGAAACACTTGCCCGCAAGCCCCACGATTCTGAAAAACGCCCCTTGATATTTCACGGTTCGGTTCGTCTGTAAATTGACAGCTCGTCAAAAGAGAAGTATAACGTACAGATTACCCCTGGATTGCCAGACTTGTAAAATTACTTTGTTCTCTAATAGAACACGTTCCAGGCGATTGCAAAACTGTAATAAAAAAGGTTTACGATAAAAGAAGGTCAAAACTCTGAGCGGTTGCTGCAAAATTTCTTGTTTTTTTTTTTTATTGTGTGGTTTTATCTCGTCGTGAAACGCGTCAACAATGATCTGTTCGGAACTATTCACTCCGCCGACTATGAGTTTTGCAGAGCTGCTGCTCTTCAGCCCGTGTCGAAGCGTTCTCTACAATACATGCCGCTTGATTTCCAATGAACAAAAAGAATCTTTTCATTTTAAGAAGCCAACAAATCGCTTGTCTATGGCGGCTTTAGCTAGTGTTGAGTACTGATGTTCTGATTTACGTTGATGTTATCTCAAACAAACAGTCCATTAGTTTTTTTCCAGTCAGATTCACACGCCGTCATTTCCGATAAATTGGTCTTCCCTAGTCTCCACTCCTCGATCTCCAAATATACTTTGAAGACTCTGAACTCATAAACCTTGCACAAACACGATTCAAATAAATATCAGTCCAAAGCATTTGTAATCTGCGACCACAAATCAGATGAGACCAGATCTGTGACGCTCGTAAACGAAGCATACCTGGTTTGATTGATGTTTCGAGTGCTAAGTAATCAACACTACCCGCACCGCGCCAATCAGAAGCTGCGTTCGTGGGCTAACGCAGTTTTTCAAAATCGTGGGGTTTGCGTGCAAGCGTTTCCTTCTTTTTCCTCCCCCTCCCCCGTCATTTCTTTTTTTTTCTCTCTTCCCAACTTTCTCGACGAATTAGCGCGGAAACGCTTGCTACGCAGGCTATACATTTCCAAACTTGTGTAAATCAACCTTATCATCATGCTTTGTTAATTGTCCGTTCATTTTTTTTTTTAAGATACCCTAGCTGTTTGCAGTAATAATTTCTAGCCGGGACACTAACAGCGGCATAGCGACTATATACTTACTTGTATTAACTTTTGCGTTGTGAAGTACACCCAGTCGATATTCTGCAGAACCCCGTAACGCTCCTACCTAGAAGTTGACCCAAAGTAAAAGGTTACCGTTCGTCCATGTCAAGATTACAGAGACAGCAAAGATAAGATATTAAGGATAAAGAGAGACAAGGACTTAAATATTTGGGTATAATGATTGATTCTGAACTATCATGGAAGCATCATATTGACTTTATCTGTCACAAAATTAGTACATCGGTTGGAAATAATTGCTAAAATGAGGCATTACATTCCATGGCGTCTTCTTTTGAATTTATACCATGCATACTATGGTATCTGTGCATGGGGCAACTGTCCACAGACCTACCTCAACAAGATACTTGTTCTGTAAAAACGTGCTCTGCGTTTGATCTATGTTTCTAAACCCAGAGACTATGTAATCCCTTTTTTTATTGAATCAAACTGCCTTACTTTGCAATCTTTGCTCTTTCAACAGTTAAGCTATTTAATGTATGACGTTCATGCTAAGACAGCTCCTAAAACGTTCATGCTAAGACAGCTCATGCTAAGTTCATGCTAAGACAGCTCCTAAAAGTCTTCTCGATAAGTTTGCGAAAATCAATACAAAACATCATTATAACATGCGATTATCTGCAAAGGAATGCTTCTCTGTCAAATTCTCTAGAACTGAAAAAATGAAAAAATCTTTTACTAGAATTGGTGTGTCTGTACTGTCGCAATTTGTAATAATCATCGCACTTTGTAATACCTGTCGCAATTTGTAATAATGCCATCGCACTCTGTAATACCTTTTTGAGAGTAATCAAACTTACTTCGTCAAGATTAAAATAATGCCAAAATATGTTTGGTACTTCATAAACAAAGATGATGACGTCAGCTAGCACGTGACATCTCCGGTCATTCAAACATTTAACTTTATTGACCGTCCTAAACATTTTTTTTAGATTAACGTTGATTAGTTATCTGACTTACGAAATGCTGTATTCTTAAACCTTGCTATTGTACTAGGTAGTTTTCATTCAATGGTTACCCGGCGGGTGTACTTCCTTATATGGCCAATACGGGGATGTGCCTCTGGACAGAGCGTTGTCAGAGCACAGAATCTAGACGCACTAGACACAAACGAGCCATTATTAAAAAGCATTTAATTTCCGCAAATCGTAACATCCATCCTACGTCATTCGAATAAGGACACCAGGAGATTTCAAGCTTTCCTTGTTAGATCTTACAACAAGTCGAAACAACACGTGGTGCACCGTCCTTGTCTAACGCACAATCTTAAAAAAGTAATAGTGGCTTCCATATTTCGGCCAAATTAATCAAAAGAGGCCTGGAAAGATTCAAAATGTTTACTGCAAATAATTAAAAAAACGTCATCAGTGGCAAACCGTCGAAACACAAAATCCAATTAGTTGCTGGCCAATACCTTCGTATGTACCTGTTTTTATAACACTCACTTGAGGTCTTACACTGAGCCGGCTGGGCATTTGGCCCATTATTCTAACTTGATTTGGTCCCATATAGGAACAAAAGGAGTACGTACTCATTCCATCTTAAAACAATTGTTTTTCTACAAGGAGTCCTCTAAAGCAAATACCATGGGGATAGTAAAAAATTATCCTTCCCTGCGTATATACAACTCGTAAGACCTTGCAATTCTTCCGAGCGTGTTCTGGATTACTGTTTTTCCACAAAATGGAAAGGATGGAATAAACCATCCATTACTACTTGAGTTACCCTATCTAAGGATCAAACCAAAGACACAAGGCCAACAACGTAAAAAATGATACCCTATTAAAGGCTGGAGATCCTCAAAAACCATACCCTATCAGGCGGTACTTACCTATCTAGCCCATCCATATATGGGATTATATTCCCCCCCCCAAGAAGACTTCACTTGTCACTTGGCAAGCAAACATGGATTTAGACTATGAATGCCAGGTTGTTCATGAATTTTCTGTTGTTAAATGTTGCTTCAGTTATTTAAATATTTTTGAATTTAAACATGATTCATCTCTTTTTGGTGATATGTCACAGGAAGTTTCATGTCTTCCATAAAAGCGTTTCTAGTTGGTCACGTGATTAATCAAGGCAGAAACATTTGTAGCGTAAGACATGCATGTTTGACCAAAGTAAATGTTGCGGATATGTTACGTGGTAGCAGACGTCATCATCTTTGTTTATGAAGTACCATGTATATTTTGGCATTATATTAATGTTGACGAAGTAAGTTGAATCACTCTCAAAAAATTATTACAAAGTGCGATGGAATTATTACAAATTGTGACAGCTTAGTTTATTACAAAGTGCGATGGACTGTTATTACAAATTGCGACAGCTTTTTTATTACAAAGTGCGACACGGTTTATTACAAATTGCGACAGGTATTACAAAGTGCGATGGGTTTATTACAAATTGCGACAGGTATTACAAAGTGCGATGATTATTACAAATTGCGACAGTACATGTGTCTATTTGGAATTCTACTCCACTTTCTGTTAAGACTCTCAACGTTTCTAATTTTCGTAAAAAATTAAATCACTACTCCTTAATGTTCTAGGTAATGAGGATAATTATTTGAATGTTAATTATTTAATAGAATATTTTGTGAAGTTAACCTGATATGTTGTATATACCTCCAGTTGTAATTTTAGTCTTTTTCAAATAACAAAATCCCTTGTACTTGAATTTATATGTAAGGTGTTTCTTTCTGTATGTTTTTGTATTTCTTCTTTTCTTTTTTTCTTATGTAATTTAATAACGCCTTTAGTTAAAATCTTGTCCTGCCTAGATTAGCATTATAGCTATTTGCAGGACATGAAGTATTGTAAACTTTATATTTCTTTAAATAAATACATTGTTGTTGTTGTTGTTGTAGACAAAAAATCTGTATATGCTAGTTTTTTGTCACCTGAGAAAATTTTAACGTCTTTGGTTGTGTTTGTATTCCAGCGTTTCTTATGCATATAGTATCACTTGTGCTAAAATGGTGCGGATGGTGCTAGAAAGGACCTAGGGATAGTTAAATAGGTGAGAAAGGGCAATGCAAGGAAGAGCAATCGATCTTCTCAGCCCTGTTAATAGCCTGAATTTCATCCGATTACTTCGAGTCGTTATTACTGTCTCAGTAACGTCGGAATCGACCGGCCGTTAATGCCGTCCAGTGACGTCACTACTCCTTGACCTTTGCTTTAATTCATGCAAAAAGTAAAACACGATTTTCAAGTGGCAAACCGAGAAATATCGTTTGGAAATGTCTGCAAGATACAGAACTGCTTTATTTTTTTTCGATTGTAGTTCATGTTTAACGTTCAAACAATCAACTGCATGCGGTACAACTCTGAACCGTTTGTACTAAATTCTATAATCAAATTCGGTCAGGCAATCACGCAATGAAATAAAACATGATAAAAACACACACGGAACACTTAGTTCAAAAACAAAATGATTTGCTTTAATTGAAAAGAAGCTATTTGGTCCTTAACGAAGAAAAAAACAAGGAGAAAAGAAAGAAAAGCTAACAGAATCATCACACTTGACGGTGAAATAGCAAGAAGGTCGAATTAAAATTCAGAAAACTTCGCGTAAACAAAATCACCGGCCGCCCAAACCACAAAGTGGCTCTGAATGAAAACTCACCTACCGACTCTCCGCGATGATTCTTCATTCGCAGTTCAATTTAACATTTCAGTTTCGAAGACAAGGGCAATTTTGCTGTTTAAGATAAAGATTAAGCTCATAGAAATGTTTGAACTAACCGAAAGAATGCCAGGGATGCGATCCGCTGAATATCAAATGACAATCCCGCTAAAATTTTTCATAATTATACATAATCATGCGAATGTTTAGACAATCAACCAATCAAAATCACTACCCGGTTTTCGGGTAGTGAGTGACGTCACTGGACGGCATTAACGGCGGGTCGATTCAGACGTTGTTGAGAGGAGAAAACGACTCGAAGCAATCAGATGAATTTCAGGCTACCCTGTTAAACCTTCGACGACGGCCTTGGTCAGTTTCGTACCATGTGGAACGATGCATATAATCATTAAAGCCTTCCTGGACCCGTTTAGCTTTCAGTTTAAGATATTAATAAAGCAACGATATATCTGTCCACAGGTAACTCATTTTGGAAATACTAGATAATCCTGACGGGGTTAGATACAAAAAATCCATAGTAACATTTCGGGGAAAAATCCACTGCCAATTTTGCTATTGACTTACTACTCGCTGCAAATTAAACTGGTTTCTTTCCTGGAAAGTCAGCCAGCCACAATTCCATGAGAAAAATGAAATAAAGTGGGCGACAAAACTGCCTGTAAAAAAGGCAAGTAAAATAGAGATCGGGAAAGAAAGTTCGAAATAGATTCGAAAATGGGCATATGACACAATCTTGGCATAAGGCCATGCTCCAAAAAGGAGGTTTTAGTTTAAAAAGTTGGTTTTCCCTATTCGCAAGCGGTCGCCAAAGGGTTTAGTTTGATGAGATGACTGATGTTGCTCATTCTCCTTGCTCCAAGATGTTCTCCTCCGTCCTAGTGAACCAACATTTCCGAATCACCTCAGACGAAGGGCCACTCGATACGCTGTTGTACTTCATATTATTAATCTTTATCTATTTACTCTTTTGTTTATTTTCATATAGATTTACCTGTGTACCATACAGAATAACGTTCCTTTCAACAGTAACACTTGTGAGTGACGAAGCAATTGCACCAATTAGAATGGAGATAATAACAAGGCCGGTTAATGTCCACATTATACCAAAAATGCGCCCGATAATAGACTTGGGCGCTCGATCACCATACCTATCAACAAATATGAGTAAATATGGCACTTCACACTAAACACTAAGTATATTTATTTATTTATTTATTTCCATGTAAAGATGTGTGTATTCATGTTGCGTTGTTTTGCTTCGTTATTGCTATCGTAGTTGTTTATCTTGTTTGTTTGTTTGTTTGTTTTTTTAGGGTATTTCATTGTGTGTTTTTGGTGATACTTACTCCTTTTGCCGCCAAAACAAGCCCCAAATAATGTATCACCTATTCCATTATACTTGTCATAGCACATACAAATTTGTTTAAAGGGAATAAACTCGCAAGAAAACAAAACCACTTCGGCTTTAGTTTCAATTTTTTGCATGTGCATTTATTTGTTTTTGGGTTTTCTGTTGGGACCAGTAACACAGCAGGGGCAAACCATCCGGCCCAAGGGAATCATCAGGGCGTGGTAAATTTGGTTTATTTAAAATAGCTTTGTTGGCTTCCACTCTTTCTACGCCAAACTTGGACTGAAAATATAGAATATTGAGCCAAATAAATTGGCATTTATTTTGACTCCAAAATGTCAAATTATGACGTCACATTTTTTGACGTCATTCATGCGCAATTTTTTAGACTTTTGAATTTTCCAATTTTTTTTTTTATTCAAGGGAATAAAAAAGCTTAATTTTTTTTTTCATATCTCAAATATAAGCTGACATATGAAATTTTCAATTTTAATAAATTCGTACCTCAAAAACGGGGTGCTCGCTTGTAAAATAATTCTGATTTTAAGCGTAACAGATCTTTATTGTCGAAAGCTAAAGAAAAAAGAAAATTTGAAAAAGGAAATTCGTAACTGCGCAAAAACCGCAAGAAAACCGTCTTCTGACGTCATAAAATGTCACGTGATCATTTTTTGGTTTGCTTAAACAAGCGTTTGTAAGTCAAGAAACGAAAACTTAAAATGATAAAATTTTTGGAAACTATAAAAGGTTTATTTTCCCGGAAAATCGTCTTATTTTGCAAAAATAAAATGAAATAAAATAAAAAATAAATCAAAGGGAAATTTTTTTTTTTCCCGGGGGCTCCTTTTAAATGTCTTTGAAGTCCCACACTGTAATTTTCAGGGAGTTATAATAACTCCTCTAGTGGGGCTAATTTAACTCCTTACAGTGGAGTTATTTTTCGTGGAGTTACTTTAACTCCAAAAAGGAGTTTAAAAGAATTCTTTTTCAGGAGTAAAAGGGACCCCAGATATTGAGGAGTTAAAATAACCCCAAAAAAGGAGTTATCCTGTACCTAAAATTTTTACTCCACTTTCAGAGTTAAATTAACTCCAAAAAGAGTAAAAACAACCCATGTAAGGAGTACAAGTAACCCCATTTCGGAGTAATTTTAACTCCAGACTAGGAGTAAAAAGAACTCTTTTTCAGGAGTAAAAATGACCCCAAATTCGGAGTTAAATTAGGAGTTAAATTAGGAGTTAAAATAACCCCAAAAAAGGGGTTATCCTGTACCTAAAATTTTTACTCCATTTTTGGAGTTATAATAACTCCCTAAAAATTACGGTGCATAACTAGAATTAACGTACCGTAACGAGAAAGAGCTTTCGACATTTTACTCCCATTCTAAATGTCTTTTACATGATATAAGTTTCACTTTGAAATTGAAAAAAATATTTCACCAATGTTGTTGATGTCACATTTTGCAACAAACAAAAACTTAGAATTACCTCATCAACAATCGTAGTCTATCTGGCAAGCTTAGTCAAGAAATTAAAAGAAATGAAAAAGATACGTAAATTTAGCCTTAATGATCCCTTGGAGGGGCGCAATGGCCTCACCGCGTCAATTATTTATATCCATCAAAGAACCTTCGTGATCCAACAGTAACAATCAACATTCTTGAGTACCAGAATCAGTGCACTGTTACCCTCTAACGTGCAAGATTACTTAATATTATCCACCTGCTCGAAGACGTTTGTCTTATAGCAACCAATGAGAACGCTCACTATCGGACGAACATCTGAGGTGTACAACAATGGAATTGTTGATACCTACCCTACAGTCGTCATGGAAATGTAAGACCACCAGAAACCTTCGCCAACTCCTTTCAAGAAACTGGGCGGAAATTCTTTAGGGTTAAATTTTGAGTCCTGCGGTTAAAATAAATGCAAGCATCAAAGAGCACAATGCAGACAATATCTTGAGACGAGTTTTGTTCTCTAGTCTTAAAAAGGGCTATGTCAAGATGATTTTTATGTTATATGTTTAATGGAAAAAAAATGAACTGAAAGAATTCCTCCTTCTGCCTTCATTCATTGCTGTTATCCGTTTTCCTCCCCTTGTGGTGGTGGCGCTGGAGGAAATTAAAAGATTTGGTGATGGTTGTGGTGGTGGTTGTAATGGTGGTGACAGACTACAGAAATGAGGTAGGGCGGTGGAGGAAAAACACTTGAAATGGTGGTGGTGGTGGTGGTGTTGGAGGTTTTGGCGAGGGAATTAAGAAAATGAGGAGAAGCCAAATAACTGAATTTAGGGTTAGTAAGAGCTACAATCAGTATAATATTTGTTGGCACATCCCAACGAAAAGGGGCCTTTCGCATCTCTCTCTCCTGCTAGCAACTTTGACAAGGGAAGGAAGGGGAATCCAAAGCACACGATCATGGGCAGAACATGTAAGCCTAATCAGGGACAGTGTCTCAAATGTTTTTACAACTTATGGCAGTTTTTTTTTTTTTTTTTTTGCCCTCTTTAGTATTCATGAATTGCCCGCCAAGAATCAGTGAAACGGAAATGGGACAATTTTAGAGATTATCTGCAATACATTTTGGAAGGAACTGGGAATAGAGCTTCCATTATTCCGTTACGGTACATTGATGCTGAGTCACATCAGGTGATTTTTGTTTTCAAAAAGCAAGACGTCTATCGATCTTAAAATGGCTAAACAACCTGTAAAACATGTTGAATCACATGATAGAGCAGGTGAAAGATTACAAGATTTCAAAACCATTTCATTAACGAGATCAAGGCAAAAGGCCAAGACATTATCGGCGGTAATATATTCCTGTGTAAAGTAATGAGATTCTAATTATTTTCCCCAAGTTCTGTGGGGAGGGGGTAAGCTTCAGTCGCTCGCACCTTCATTTTGGAAGGTCTTCCTTCCTGAAGAGAGGGTGCTTCATTGTTGCGTTCATTTCTATTTTGGTCTTTCTAATTAGATAACCCTCTGATTGCTCAGGACAGTTTTGACTCTTAACAGCCTGAAATAAATCTCCTCATGCAATAAATGACGAAGGCTCTCTTCACCATAGCAACTGATTTTTCAGGACTTACCAAAAACCATACAATAAATCCAGACATGAAGCCCATGCATGCTGACAACACAATCAAAGGCACCGTTTGCAGTATTGCCATTATCATGTTCATAGCTTTTCCACCGGGGGGCCTACTAGCAGCAAGGAATGCTACCCCGGGTGATTCCACAATGTTGATGTAAGCGTAGTCACCCAAGTATTTGGTGATGTATTTGTTGCCGTATATTGGAAAACTTATTTCTGGGACATCATCGATGTCTTTAAGGACTTCTAACACATCTTCCTTAGCAGAAAGTCCATTCTTCCCGTTGTTAGAGATCTCGATTATGGTGTCGCCGTGCGCGGGACAAATTCCGCAAGCAGTGTGAACCATTTCAGTGATAATCCCGCTAAATATTCCCTCGAGTTTGTTATCTTTTTTGTTAAACGTAAGGTATGGTGTTGTTGCCCAGAAGTTTGTGTAGAGTATTTTTGGACAACGGCAGGTTTCTTTTAATGGGAAGCAAAAAGAAAGAAAAATATAGAGGCAGTGTGATTAAAAAGATATTGGGCATTTCACTGACAATGAATTCTATTCTTATTTTTAATAGAGAAAAGGGGATAAAGAAACTCCGTAATGAGTCATACTTTATACTTAGCAACCCGATGCTTTAAAATTTTCCACGGCTTCTACTTTTATTTGGCTGTTAAAAAGTTGTACTAAAATGCTTTTATATTTAGTAAAATGCCTTTCCTTAGGTCCAAAATATGCTGTTTCAAGATTAATCATAAGTTGCAATAAGATAAAACACAAACATATAAGATAACCGTGAATATTAAGACTCAAATTAAAAGACAAATCTATCACGAATGCTTTTAAACTGGGATTTCTTTAGTAGAGTGGCTGATAAATGAGAAACTCTACAGTTACAGTGCTTTCATCTTTACAACAAACGTCTTAATATACATCAAAGTAATAACTTCTACACTCTCACCAGCTAGTACGTCTTCACTGTAAGGTCCCAGTCCTTTTGGTGTAAAGGCAGCCACTCGGATTCGGTAGGTAGAATACGTTTTAACTTGTAGGACAGTGGAAAGCTCCTCTGGCTTAAAAGTCAATGTATATTCCTCTGTATCTTCCAATAATCTCTCAGCCGTCCTGATTCTTTGATATTTAAGAGAATAACCAAGAAGAGGGCCGTTGACATGGCCACTAAGGACTGGACTCCAGTTAACATTAATCGATTTTTCGGATGTTAGGTTTTGCGCTAAGACATTCTGCGGTGGTCTGGTGGGGACTTAAAAAGAAGGAAGACAACGTTGACTGATTGTATTCTCAAAAAGCGTTAATTGGGAGCCTAAGCAAAAGCGACAACGATAGAGAAGAGATTTTCACAAAGGTGATAGGTTTAAACAAGCCAAAACCAACTGTGAACGTACAGCGCACTTTTGGTACACCTCTTTGCCGACATTGCGCGAATACGGCGTGAATTGTCATCACCGGGACGTTTTCTATTAGACGTTAACACGCGACCAAGAATTTGCCTTTCTCTTTTGTGAACTGGAATACAGAAGCTATGAATTAGGCGCTTTTCGATGTTTGCCTACATTTAGCAAATTGAACTACTTGGTACAATCGCTGTAAGGTTTGGAAGCAAGATTTTCGTGGTACGAACAGAAAGACGAATAAAATGATTCGGACAACTTACCATCATCCCAAGTGTAAGATATGGCGTGATATTCTTTTCCACAACCTTTAGATGTCTTCGCACAAACCACTATCTTGTACTTTGAGTAGTACCAAAGATCGCTTAAAATTATTTTACGGACATTTGGATGGACGTGTCTTGATTCCCAGAACGGCGGTGACCCATCATCTTTAGCAAACCTGACCTCATACCCCAGGAGTATTCCGTGTACATAAGCTTGATCAATTGGTTGCCAAGAAACATCAATCGTGGTGGAACTTGTGGCCTGGACAATGATGTTCGGTTGTGTTTGACTGGGAACTAGTGACAAAAGAAAAATGTCTCAGTTTTATGGGTCTACAAAGGGGCTACAGAAAAGGGAAAGGAAGAAAGAAAGCACCGAAATTCCTGTTTTAGCGTTGAAAGTACATTTGCATGGGACATGTACTAAAATGCATAGGCATTAATAATACATAATACTTCTGCTACTGCGTTTTAAATTTTGGAACGTTTCTCCACTGTCTCTCACTCCTGATGATCAAATTTAAGTTCTCGCAAAGACTGTTTGGTCACTAAAGCTAAAATTTCCCTTTCTAGATAGAATACTTTTTAGGGACCTACCCCATTCATCTTTAGAGGCGAAACGCATAGGAGAAAGTCATGGAAGTAAAAAGGGAGCAGGAAGAACTAGCCCTTTTCTTTTTAATTGCCTTATTTGTTCCCCTTCGATGAGCTGCCGTACTATTCTCCTGCCACCGCACACGAATCATTGTCTGCCTCAGAACCTCCTGTCCCTCTACGCTGGCGGGGCCTGAGCACTTCTGGTACTCGTACTCAGGCCAAGCGGCTAAAAGGTTCTCAGGAAGCTCTGGGGAGGAGAATGCACATGGATGAAGTCTCTTCTTTAGGGACTACTCAGAGCCCTGCCTTCGAACTCACGCTATAATTGCCATTTTGGTCTCAACAGACAACAAAAAACGAAAAATTTTCATAGTAAAGAGTGATATTTTGAGGCATCTCCGGGCGAATTTTCCTCTTCCGTTATTTCCCTCTACTCCTTAGCTCATCCTTATTTGTTAATAACACATGCCTTTTAAAAAAGGTTCTTATCCCGGTAAACCAGCCTACAGCTTACCATCTTCCTGCGTTCTTAATGCGACAGCTTGACTCGGTATTCCATTACCATTGCTGGTGAAAGCATAAATGCGTACTATGTAATCTGTAAACTTCTCTAGATCCTCTAAAACTGCTTCACGTGGCGTTGGTGATACTGATTTCATAGATTCTACTCGAAAATTTTCGTTGCTTTTCTTGTACACTATAACATAGCCTAAAAGTGGCATCGAATAGAGCTCAGTAACCTCTGTCCATTTCAGTTCTATAGATGTGGAAGTGTTGCTTATTGCTTGCAATATTACAGGTGGCTCGCCTGGTACTGTTGATAGAAATAAGGAGAAAAGTCATTCATATTAACTGCAACTCTAATCAACTAACTATTATCTTAATTTATTATTTTCTTTACTCAGTTCACTCTTTTAGAGTTTGCCCAACAATTAAATCCGCCTTGTACGGCGCGATTATCATACCAAATTAAATGAGATTACTACTCAGTAGCTTAAATTACGCACAATTGATGTACTTAAGTATTTTAGAGCAACTTTTCAACCCAAGACAAACAGAATCAGAAGAAATCGCTACCTGGTAACTATCTTTCAACGACATTAACTCCTAAGTATTAGATTTATCTTGTGCCTTTCTCCTAGTGATTTAGCATATTTGTTAGAATAAGCAACGAAATGGCAAGGTCACATGGTTAGGCAGAAATTGAAAATGCCTGAAAGCTGTCAAAAGGAACGCCAGAGAACTCATTTCGTCGGTTATCTGGCTAGTGTGCAATGGGCGAACGAACCACAACCCATTTCGCAGTATCCTCACCATAACTGCTAGAAAGGTTGAGTAATTCTGCTGGAGTAGTGCCCAGTGTTCCTCCAGCCAGCTCTTCTTGTAATGAGATAATCTGTAGTGCATCTACAGCAAGAAAACTCACGTTTATACTGGCGATTATGCTTCCTTCGCTGAATTCAAGTAATAAAAAATATAACTATGAGACTTAGTGTTACAAACGTGAATTAATTAATTAAAAAAGCTTGGCTTCCTGACAGGATTTAAATCAGCCTGAGTGTCAAGTCTTCCCTCTTTTAACTTTTCTCTTCTTCAAAATCCTTGGTAGTAAATGAAACTGGATGCTGTCATTTCACAATTATGAGGCAACTTATAGACTCTTAAGGGATTATGAAAATAATAACCCCTTTCTTTAGAGTGGCGTCACCCTTTTGTTAACTTATCATTTTTATTTGTTTATTTGTTTGTCGGTTTTATTTTTTTTTTCTTGAAAGCGGGTTTTCGTCCGTGCATACACAGCAGAATACGAATGTAAATGACTAACCAGAGATCAAACAGTAAAATCTCAAAAGGTCGGGTTAGAGAATGCTAAAGTGGGAAAGTGGGAAAACTTTAAAGCCTTAGAGACGGAGTCAGTTTAGAAGAGACTCAGTCAAGGGGTTATTTAGGTTGGAACATCAAATGGTTTGCTCCATTTCATTTGGGAATATTCTGAAAATATGGGCTGTGATTCTAGGTTGTGCAGTTTTTCCAAATTTTATAGTTTTAAATTTATGCACAAGATTTCCACCTCGGTCGGTTGCGTAAATGCTAGGTAAGAGCTCAATTTTCTTTCTTTTTTTTGTGACCAATTTTGAAGGGAAAAAGCACTGTTTTGAAAATAAACGTGGATACAGCATAAAAGCCTAAAAATCCCTAGCAGGGAACGCGTAGCTAAGAAGACGTTAGAAATCGCAGAGAAAGGAATAACCATTTTGTTTTAAATTCCATTCATGTGGAGGGTATCTTTATAAATATTTACCTCAGATTCAATACTTTTACATCCATGACGTTTTCACCTTTTGAGTGGTAAAACTCTCTTAGCTGACAAAAAAGAGAAAAACTCCCTTTTCAGAACGGGCTTCCTTTTTTGCTTCCTACTACTGGCGGCTCTATAACTTCCAAACCGCTCTTGATATGGCCGCCAAAATTACACATAGGGTAATGTAATTGACACGATTAAGGTATTTTGACGTCATTATGACCATCATTGTTGATCTTAGACAGAAGACGAATTCCATGAAATTTTTCCCTCAAAGCGAAAAATGCCTAGTAAATAGTAAGGCGTCTGACAAAATCAAAAAGTTGGCTAACACGTAAATAATCTTTAACATTAGCAATGATTTCATGATGACGTCATTTACTATCAAAGAAGGATCTGAAACCATCACCCTGTCTGAATAGGATCAAAGTTCAAAAAGTGATTATCGTTAGCAGCAGTGTCATATAATAGCATTTCCGGTCCAGTCATTCCCGTCGGGGAAAGGGAGGAGGTTAAAAACTTGACTTTGAAAACAAACATGGCCTCTCGATGCCGTGAAAAGGGGGGATGTTTCCCACTTAATAGAAAGAGAAAGAAAAGAATGTGATGGTTTTAAAGGCACATTAATATGTTCTAGCTATCGGTAAAAAGGTTTGCAGTGGAGTCATTTTCTGTAACAAACAAATTTATGGTTGCAGCATTTACCATTCCTTCAGTCTCATTGGCACATTCTACGTAGCTTTTGCTGCTGTGATTGGCCATTGTTTCTTTCCATTCTTTCGTTGGAAACCTTATCTTGCAGTTTATATTATCAGCTGAAAATAAAAGACCTCTTTGTTAGTGTAAAAAGGCAATGATTTTACTCCACAGAGTATAAACGAGACATTCACACTAAGTTTTAAGGACCTACTAGCAGAGGCCTCTTTTCCCTGGTATTCCGCCCTCTGAATACCAAGGAAAAAAGCCAGGCCTATGCTAGCAGCAAATCAAAAAAATTTTATTCTTGAAAGTTCTTCGTATGCAACAAACAGGAGGGAAAGGACACATTAAACAAATTTCAACAAGTAGAAAGAAGTATGTTGGCCTACTCTACACAAAGATCGTTAAAAAAAGTTGATGAGAAGAAGAAACACTATGGGTCCGAAAACTCCTCGGTAGTTTTGAGAAATGCACGCCTGGTTACTGTGTGCTGGGAAGCTTGACCACCTGTCTCCTCCACAACCCCAGACAACTTGAAAATGTGCAAATGTGCAAATGTGTTTATAAAAGAAAAAATTACGCTGCTGACCAACACTTGTTATCAACATCTGAAAACACAGTTTTAGGAACATCAATGTGAAGCGAACACCAGCGCTGGAGTCCCAAAACTTTACTCTCCATATATGTTATAAATTGACTCGAATCAATCATTAATTTTAATTTGCTCTTAAAACAAACACAAATCAAAGTTTCGATTACAATTATCTCAATTCACAACTTTTGTTAAGCAAATTAAGTGCGTTGAATTAATTGAAAACGCCGGACTCCGCAGGAAATGACACTAAGGCAAAAATATATCCTTCACATTTTTAATCGTTTTCATTTCACCATGCCAGTTAGCGTATTCACTTTGTAACAGCTGAATATGGGCTATAAGCCAAGACATCTAATCAAGTGATGTCATGATGGCGTCACGTTGCGTCATTGTGTCACTCTGACTATTTAATTACACCAAGTTTTTTTTTTTGTTTTTTTAATTTAGTTAAACAAGACTTTGAAAATTATAATTCGGTCAATTCTTTCCACCCGGCATTAAAGATTAATCAACCTTAGAGATGTTTGAAACATAACTGGTTTTTCTATTTGTCATTAAACCTTCTAACAGCCTTGACGGCTTATGTGCGAGTGTGGACTATAAACCAATCATCGAAAGATCAGGGAGCCCTTTTTTCTGTTTTTAAGCGTTTGTATCCATATGCAGAACAAAGAAAGGCTACAATGTATAACAACTGAAAAAAGGTAATTTTGAAACAAACGGCGCGCTTGTCCCCTGTTACCTGTTTTATTCATCTCTGTCTCAGTAATTCATCACATAGCCTGTTCCAGGCATGCGCATTTAGATAATGGAGAGTGGAGCAAAGAAAAGTGAACAGGAAATTAAAAAAACACTTCCGACCTTTTTTCCTCGCCCTCCATTTCGAGCCACAGTCTCAACTATCTGAAAGTCTGGAGCAGTCATCCATCGCAATTCAAAAACTGTATTTCCTATGAATTTAATTTCTTAGACTTTAACGAACCGGGGACGACCTAAATATTCCCAAGAAGTCAGGGGAAATGTGCCTTTTTTAAAGTGGCTATCTCGACTCCGATCCCTTACCATACGCCGCACTATAAAAAGATGAACAATCAGTATACAACCAGCTCGACACTCAATCTCGTAAAATATTCCAGCTTTCCAGACAAAACGCAGCAATCTGTGATATTTCTTTTCCTTACCACAAAGGTAGTATAGAAATCCACTTAAATCTTAATTGTAGAACAAACTTGCAAAAAAAACTTTCAAATCGGTACTCTGGATTCACATGTAACGAACGATTTTCAGGTAACTAAATAAAATAACCCTTTTTTTTTCACTTTAACACGTTCCTAACAATAACATAGCTAGCTCCAGCATCCGGCATATAACCTACGCACAACGATAATCTTCTGATTGGCTCTGACGAAGCAGTAGGGATAGCGCTTAAAATGTCAGCTTCTCAATACCTCTATGGTAGGAAATCTTCCTTGTCAACTCAGTTCATAAAATTAAATCTTTATTAAAACAGATGTTTAAACTTTTCAGTGTAAATTCAGTGGCCATATATAAGCAGTTTTAGGGTTAAGGGGACGGGCCTCCAAACGCTCTCCATCACCCCCTGTCCCCTCCCAGTGAAACCAAAACACGGTTAAGCGGACACTCCCAAGTCAAAAGTGGGTGTTTGATTAATGTGCGATTTGCTGTTCCTAAGATATTCGATAACAACGTAGAATTGAACTTAACAGACCTGGACAAGGATTAGGGTTGCATGACTGGCTCTCTGTCGCTGGACCTTCACAGTCTCTCCCACCATTAGCTGGTCTGGGATTGTCACAAAGTCGTTTTCTTGACTTGGATCCTCCATTGCATGGCTTGTTACAGTTTGGCCATGAAGACCAACTGCTCCAATTACCGTGAACTATAACGAAAGTCACAACACCATAAGAATATTTCAGGCACGTAGGTGAGTAAAAAATAAATATCCTTTGAGTTAACTGGGCCTCCCAAAGAGCTTTTGGCGAACAAGCGAAAATAATCATTAACTAACCGGATCAAGGGAGATCTTCTTTGAAGAACAGGAACAGATGGATGGATGGATGGATGGATGGATGGATGGATGGATGGATGGATGGATGGATGGATATGAATGGATGAATGGATGAATGGATTGCTGGATGGATGGACGGACGGACGGACGGACGGACGGACGGACGGATGGATGGATGGATGGATGGATGAATGAATGGATGAATGGATAGATGGATGGATGGGTAGATGGATGAAGGAACAGACGGATTAGTAAGGTAAAAAAAGTATCACAGTTTTGATTGGGAGTTACCTGGTGGAGCAACTGATGAGGTCTGTTGAACTAGTGAAGCAGGTAATGACGGTGACGGTTCTGACAGTTTTAATGGATGCCGGGGAGATAATGTGGGTTGCAATTTTGTTAGGGATGGAGTTGAGGTGTGAGATGTCTGGAATAGCTGACTCGGAAGACGTAATGTAGAATTCTGATCTTGTGACGATAGTGTCAGTGATAACATCTGAACCGAAAGTGAGGACGGTGTGTTTTGATGATATGATGATAAATTTGAAACTGAAGGCCTGACCATAAGAGGAGTAGTTTCGGGTTGAAGTTGAGATTTTGATAGTGACATTGAAGTTGGAGTTAGTACCGTAAGATAGGATAAAGTTGTTCGATAGGCTGTTGATTGAAGTAATTGCGCTGGCTCAATCGTTGATGATGAACCTTGTAAAGCAGTTGACATAGGCTGTACAGCTATGTTTGGTAAAAGAAGAAAATACTTTAAGTTGAACACAAAATCATCAAATCAGCTATCAAATTATTGTCTAAAAATATGCTGGTCTGAATGGAATTGAATAACTTTATTTAGTATATACTAATTGGATAGTGTTTTTCGCGCGCTCCGATTGGCTATTCAATCAGTGAATATCCTGCACTATTCACTGATTCACCTCCAGTTCCTCCGAGCGAGCGACCCGAAACTCGCTTAAGTTGCGAGCAAAATGCCTTCCCGGTTTCCTGCCGTAACAAACAAAGAAATTTCACAACTAATCAAGCAAGCTGTTCCCGAAATACTCGAAGAAGGTGACGAAGTTCGGTTTTGAAGTTTTAATGGGTAAAGCTTTGTCTTTTTTACTTGAATTCATCGATAAAACTGGTGAAAAAGTTTTTTGTTTACAAATGCAAATTAAGCTTAAGTCTTGCGTTTCTTTATTTAGTTGACTTGTTTATAAATAAACTTAGAACTAAATATCATAATCTTTTTACAGAATGATTTTAAATACAAAAAGAATTCACAACTCCTTTTGAAGAAATTTCCCCACAAAAGCTAGACAAATGCCTTCAAAAGATTTATTTGTCGGCAAGAAAAAGGGACGACCGCGGCCGTTCGGTCATTGTGCGCCAAAATTGTAATCGTTGGCAACAGTAAATGAGTTAAAAATTATCATTTTTGTGCTCAATTATCTCACTGTTTTCTTTATATACTAACACAATTATTCACCTCAGTGTCGGTGGCTAGTAGTGGACAACGGACTGAGTTGACAATAGTAGTATTGAGTTACGTCCTTGAAATACGTACTGTAGTCGATTAATAGCTGAGCTCCACGCGCGGCGCGTGGGCGGAGCCCCATAGCTAAGTAAATCTACCTATCTCAGAAATTTGGTAATCACGTGACCGTACACCGAGCGACCGAGCGTCCGTCCGCACCACGGGGAAACCAATGTTTACTCTCACACTTTCTAGCTAGTTTGGGATCCCAAGAGAGAACTAATTGCACATCAATGTTGCGATCAATTGACAGCTACCAAAACAGGGTATCCGCTGACCAGAATCACCTGACTGTACCGCGAGCTCAAGTGTCGACCCATCGAAGTCGAGTATTTTTTGAAGTTATCCGCTGACAAATTACCAGTTTCAAATGATCACAGGCTCAAGTTTATTTTTTCCAATGATTCATATCAAATATGTTGTGTTTATGTCACTATGGCCGCGCACTATTAGGATTTTGATTTTAAACTGACCTTGAACGCGAAATTTCAGCCAGTTTTTTTTAATATACAGGCGAGGAAGACCTTTTCTTACCATGGTCTCGCGTTGGTGACGCTCTACGCCCATTTTTTATGCTCTGATCAGTCAAAATTTGACAGGTGAGTTCATGCGGAAATTCATGCAGCTTCTTGAAAGTTGTTTACTTTGACAGCTGAAGCTGACAGAGTTTTGTGTCAACTTGTGATATTTTTAACTGCCTTTTTCTCTGGATGTACAAAATGAAATACAGCTGCTATCAAGAGTCTTCTGTTATTCATGGCTGGTTTGTTTACTGGGTTTTTGGTTGAGAAATGCGTCGCTTGTCAAAATTCGGTAATTCGATTTCGGATGGTATCGTTTTCGTTGTTCACTTTGCTTAATGCGTAAGAAGGTTTAAAAGTCTCAAGCAACTGTGGCCTTCCTTGATAGCTTTCAGGAACTGAATCTCGATTCGTAAGCGTTAGTAATTATTGTATTTGACGTTTGTTTTTGTTATATCTAATTTCATGAAGTCGAGCACAGTTTATGCGGCAAGTTTATGCACGTTTGTAGGATTTGAACCGATGATCTGGCCTAGTACCAGGTTTGATATAAGCTTACAGAACTTTAAAAAGCCCTCAGATATATTTTCTCACCGCAGATAGAAAGAAAAGGTTTCAAAGAATATATTTTTTTTAAATTTGGCTGTAGAAAGAAAACTTTGAGGGATTTTCTTGCTTCGAGGAGTTCATCTTTGAAAACAGTAAACACCGCGCCGGGAAGCCCGCTAAAACTGGCCTTACGCTTAAAGACTCAGGATCTTTAAAGACACTTTAACTTGTCTTCGTGAATGAAAATTGTTGTCTCTGTAAATGTTTCACCGAATTATATTTCTTTTATTGATCGTTAGTAGTCTCTCTTGCAATTTTAATCGCTTGGCGTGCCGTTTGTTTTCATCGTTCATGAGCATCGCTTGTAGGAGTACTTAAAAATGTCGCGCGTATCAAACGCTTTATAAGATTACACATCGTTATAACTGAAACCATTAAATAACAAAAAATAATAATAATAAATTCATTATGTTGAAGCGTAACTCTATTAAGGTTTATGGCAAACACTCGACCCCACACTGACAGCTCGCACAATAGAAATGACAACCGGCTGGCCGTACGGCTGATTTTGGAAATTTTTTGAACAGTTTCGCTAAAAGCCCACGATTGATCGTCCTAAACATTCACTGAGTGCAATTTGTCTTAAGAAAGTGTGAAATACTGCATTCTGTCCGAGGTCTGTATGATAAATAGTACTGTTTCACCTCAGATGTGACGTATAAAAAATAGAAAAAGGTTGGTTTACACATCCCCAGATTTGTTGGCAAGATTTGCAAAGTACACCTGTCGAAAGCAAAAAAATTCGGCCTGATTTGTTTTCCAAGGATTTGTTTTCGAGGCCTAATCTACTGTGATCTTGAAAGTGATCGAAGATGTTTGCCATTTTTGGGGTGTGCATATAAGGTTATCAACTCGATGTAAGATGCTTCACTATAAAATAACTCAGCCTTTCCCTCAAAAGTCACATGAATGTGCTCTTAAGTTAACTGATTTGTGGATTACAAGGTTATTGTTTGATTTAAATTATAAATCTATTAATTGGAGCTTCGGTTTTAGCCCTGGCTAAATCTATATATTAAAGATAAATCAATATATTTAGCTGTCCATAAACTGTACATTAAACCGATATCCGGCCGTATGATTGTCATCCGCGATCACTGAAGTTCATCGAAAAGTCTTGCACAAAGTACAGCACTGCTATTCACAATCAAATCCTCCCTTAACAACATGAAACAGTACACAGTACAGAGTAACCGTTTAATGTTAATCGTTAACAAACATTGCGCAATTTTTACAAACCTCTATGACGCGGACACCCTCTATTAAAAGGACACTTGGGAAAGTCCCGAAGGAGTCCGCATAATAGATGTTTCATTGTATTTAAAAAAGCCAATTAAACTTACAGCCTGCTTTACATAAGTACCATGCATATAGATCTTTAAAAGAATTGTTTGCAGCCAGCCTTGAAGGGCCTGCCGCAGTTCAATAGAAAGGCTATTCCAAAGAACAGCTCCAGAGTTTATCTCGTACCCAGATCTCAGGAACTGAAACTATTTTTCATAAAGTTTTTAAATTGTTCAGGGAAGAGGCATAGCGAGTTTGCCGTTAATGTCTCTCAAAGAGTAAGTGGTGACACTTCTACGATCGGTAAATTTAGAACGAAGAGCTAGTCCATTGAGTGATTTATACATCATTGTAGCTTTTTTACTCTGTCTTTGCGTGTCAAGTTTTCTCCAGACAAGTTTATCGATAAGAGAGTCGGAATTGGTGTCATGACTTGCGCTTTCACCGTCATAGAATACGTGTCGCGCGATTTTGGAGTTTCTGAAGTTTGATAGATACTGTTTTCTTACATCTGGGATAATTTCTATGTAAGATGGTCCGATCTGATGCTGGTTCTAGTAATCTGTGTCCACAATCTACTTCCATGTACGGGTAAACGTAGTAGCAAGAAGACGAATTTCACCAAAAATTTACATTAATTAATAAAAAAAAAAGTGAAGGCAAATGTTTTCGAACGTTCTACATGTCATCGAGTAAACAAGTAACAACAAGCTAACCTTAAACGCAGCCGCTATTGTCAGCACTTCAAGCGCGGAGCGACACGCGAAGCCTTTCATCTGAACTATTGAATTGACAGAAGAAACGTAAGGGCTCTACGTCTTTTCGCAGATGAGATAGCATCCAAAACATTGATTTATTCCTTTTTAACCGTTAACGCTATAGTCAGCTGACAAAAAAGATTTAAAAAACTATATGATTTGCGATGGTCTTGCGCATGTAATGTTTAACGCTACAAGCACATTTAATTTTTCACGCTTGAATTGAACGGTGGATCAAAGTGGTCGTTTTTAATGGTTTTCTTTCTGATTCCGTGGAGATCATTTTTTTTTTTCAGGCTCGGTGAAGAGTGGCCTTTTTAGTTCAAAAGTATTACCTCTCCACTTCCCAGCTCTTTAAATATTCTCCCTCTGTTCACCTCGATTTCAAATAATTATTAAACAGTGAGATTGCTTAAAACACCAAGGACGCTTAATTTGTATAATTTTATACTAGTTGTTAAGTATTCTTACCGGTAGTGCTGTTAGTGCTGTATATCTCCACTCTTAAACAGTTCCAGCTATGCTGACTTATTGGGAGAAATTTAATGAATTTTGCAGACACTGGTAGAGGTAACTTATGGTAGTCAGTGATGCTGCTGTTTCCAGTCCTAGTGAACACCTTTCAAGACAAATTACAATAAATTATCGGTAGGAAATTCTTTTTAAATAACACTTTAGAAAAATGCTTAAGATTAGAACCCTTCTGTCGCTCTTTATTTGTTCATTTATTACGTCACATTTGAAAGGAACAAATGCTAAGTAACTATTCGAAGAAAAAAAAACGGAGAAGATTGACAAGGGGGCGTACAAGAAGCTATATAAGCGTATGAATAACTGGGTAATTGAAGAGCTTAGTAGTAAAACTATATTTATAACCGCGGGAATGAACACTATAAAAAGTAAGGGATTTCCAATCACTGTTCAATGGCAATATTAATCCACTCTTTTCACACCACCACGTCCACCCTTCCACCACCCAACGACGAAAAAAAAAAGTAATAAAAGAAAACCTGGAGTGCAGAACAGTAGTATTGATTATTATTTCTTTGCTGGCTTAAAATCTCTAAATTAATTTTCTGAGGTTTAAATTGACTAAATACTACTCATGCCCTAAAGAAAAAGTTTTTTTTTTTTGGCATTTTGAGGAAACCTTCAGTGAACAGTTCAAATTTCGGTTTGGGTTCATCTTCTCGTTTTGTTATTATTGGATGTCAGTAAAACGCGGAGTCGGGGTAAGGCTTCAGGGTTAGGGTTAGTGTCAACCCCAATCCTAACCCTAAAACAGCATTCTTTTAAAAAAATGTAGACCCCGGCCTCGGCCCCGACCCCGACCCTGCGTTTTACTGACGCCCGTTATTATTATTAACCCTCGGACGTACACTCCAAGTCATACCCGACCGTGGTACAAGGGGGAATTGATGGACCCTTCAACAACTCCTAACCCCCCTCCCCCCTTCCCTTGGGTTTTTAAAATGTTGCAATATTTCGAAACGATTTTGCTTTCAGTGTTCTCTACAAGATGTGGTATAATTTATTGGTGGTGGCGCTGCTGGATGTCTGTGACGTCACCAAAATGGTCGCCATGTTGGATTTTATCAAGAGTTAGATAATTTTTTGCGCTTAACATGTACAATAACACAAATAATTACTTTGCATCATCTTATCCTCAAGCTTTACTTCTATTCCTGAAAGAAGTTGAAAAAACATGCATTTTCACTCAAAAATGGCTTGGCCACCTGCTACTTATGACGTCATATTAGTAACTGACCATCAGTTAACTTGTCTCAAAATGCTCGCGAGTGATAATCGAACAGCTACATAAAACTTCAGGTGCTGATGTTTTATCGCCTATGAAAAAAAATCAGATGGGTGGCAGCCTCTCTGCACCCCCTCTCCCCCCCCCCCCCTCGGTACGTCCGAGGGTTAATTTTTTTTTTTAATTATTTTATTATTATTATTTCATTTTTTTTCCAAGATGAATTTACAACTTCTCGTTGAAAATGGTGAAAATTTAATACTAATTACTCAGCCACCACCATCGAGGTCAAATATTCAATTAGCGTCCTGGGTGCTTAATCGAATAAATACTGTTATCGAATTACATATTGTCGAGTCGAATCAGGAAAGCCTCATCGGAAAGTCGACCAGCGGAATAAGTATCGAAAATCATGTAGAAAATAATGTTTGTCCTCTTCTTTGAACGTGTTGTCATCTTGAATGCAGGGTTATAATCTGTTGTACTGGTTGGCAGAAACCATGCCAAAATATACACACCGTACACCGCTACCCCCTCGACCGAAGCTACAACTACCCTCTAAGCTAAAAAGTAAGTTAACCTTATCATAGCCATTTGAATCCTGACAAGCCGTCCAGCCACCGCCATCCAAAGAGTACTCCAATTTGAAAGATATTACGTATTCATCAGTATCCTCTCTCCCTTGAGTCGCAACACCACATATTTCAGTTGTCATTTCAAGTTCAACCCTCAGCCAGTCCTGGGTACCGCTAGGGCTTTGAGCGCACCAGGCTCTGTTGCCATTAAGTCGGCCACGTAAAGCTGCGTATCCCGTTTGCTTTGTAGAAGCAGTCATCTTGTTTGCAGAAACGACAAAATTATTGGCAACACCAATGGCATTGTTGAAGCAAGATGCTTGCGTTGCTGTGTGTAAGCAGAATAACGTCGTGAAAATGAAGAAAGCATCAAACCGAAAGATAACATCGTTTTTCTTGTTTCCTTATTTGAAAAGGGAAGTTAAACATCTTTGACAAACATTCAAGGTTAATGGGAGTAAAACGAAACATCAGAGCTTCAAATGACAGTCAGCTGGCCATTGAACTAAGTCGGACTAACTTGTTAACGTGGTCGGACATATTGGTCGAACAATAGCGGAAGGTTTGTTTGGTTTGTTTAGTAATTACAATAATTAATGAAAGCAGATAATTTTTCTGGTTTTCTCAATTATATTTGACAGACCTCGCCAATTAGGGTTTGCTGACTATTTCATAGGTAAAAAATATTCTACAGAAATAGCGAGAGTGCGATTTCACTCAGCAACCTTACCCTATGATGTGAAACTGAATTAACAAAGTACAGGGGAGTCCGAATTGCTTAATCACGGCACGATTTTCAGTTACCGATTAACCATAACAATAACAAACTTTTTTTTTTTGAAAAATTAAACCGCCAGTTTTGCTTGTAGCGAAAACAAAAACTTTCAAGTGCACACGAGCGCGTGATGGCACGCACTGTCCAATTTCTTGGGCATGAAGAGCACTGTCTTATTACACTGTCCAATTAGTAGCGGAGACTCATAGCTAAGAGAATTTGCTTATCTATCCATCCGAGCAAATTTGGTAGTCACGTGACCATATGCCCGTCCACCCGTCCACTCTTTGGTGGTGGTACTAAGTAGACTCTGCAAGGGTGACGGGGAATCTAAGACATGCAGCTTGCGTTTGTCTTGGCGAAAGATTATCAAGGTGGTGGAACTTCACCAAGAGGCAGCCAATGGACTTTTTCTAGTGTAGATCTTCAATTCCGTTTGTTCGACTTACGACAAAAAACTTTGAAAGATATATTTTTTTAGGATGAACTCTTTTTTAGTGCTAAATATATTTCGTCCTTTGATTAAGCGAATTTGAGTCAACAACTTTGAAAATTTCTTAAAATATCTATTGTGGACCAAATCGTAAACTAATCAGTTAAAATTATACGGGAAAGATAGTAAAAATAAGAAAGTGTCATTATATTTTACTATCCAACAATATTTTAAAATATACGACCCACTGAACATGACAGTCGCTATAATTTCGCATGATTTTTGCACCATTTTAGGCCTCGGGAAGAAAAAAATTCGTTAAAAAAAATATTATCCATTTGATCGTAAACCAACGATTTCATAACATAGGCTCATATACCTTTATTCTGGCTGAGTTTGAGCCCAGTTCCCTTCTAATTGATAATTACGCGAATGCTATGCTGGTTATATCGGATTAACTACCAGCTATTGCATGGTTCTTTCCATGTTTTAGAGGTTGGTTTTGGCCAATCCTTTATTTTTTTCTGCGAGACATCAACTTGACACTTGGACTCTTGCCCCCCAGAAGACACTTGGTTTGGCGTGATTCTGTGGGTGTTGAGAGTTCTGGGTAAGGGCTTAAAATCAGAGTGTGCGGATATTTTTCATCAGGACTTTTTCTGGTTTTTGCGCCATACTGACGAGTCCCACAAAGGGCCAAACAGCTGTCTATGGCTACAATCCCGCTCTGTTTTGAGTTCTTTCGGTGTCGTGTTGATGTCTTGCAGCATCGCAATATTCTGCTTGTAGAATTTAATATGTCTAGCAGCCATTAATTAATGCTGAAATCAGGGCAGCGGATATCCAAACAGATTAGAGTTAAAATTCACAATAATGTAAAGAATCGTTCTTAATTTCAAGTCTATTATGAATTCAAACTTCGGTCGTCTAAGAACCGTTTATCTAAAGGAGTACTAGAAAAGGTCTGGTAAATCGTGTCTAGAAAAAAAAATTGGATTGCAAGATAAATCAGAAAAAAAACACGCTTGAATATGATCTTTGAAAGTGAACCAAGTTATTGATGTTACCTTGAGAACTGCTTGAAAAAACCACAGACGAAGATGACAGTATTGGTGATGATAAAGGTGAAGATGACAATGGGTATTGTGTGCATGTTAATAACGTTGATAATAATGATGAAGATGTAGATGTATTTGATGGTGAGGATAATGGTGATAATGGTAACGTTAATGATGGCCATGATGATGATGGTGATAGTGATTGTAATGGTGGAGGTGATGATAATGGTGATGGAGGAGGCGATGTTGGTGAGGATGTTTGTGATGATGATAATGATGGTGGAGGGGATGATAATGGTGCTGGAGGAGGCGATGTTGGTGATGATGGTTGTGATGATGATGGTGATGATGGAGGAGATGATGATGCAGATGATGATGGTGATGGTGTTGGTGAAGGTGATGGTGATAGAGGAGGTGATGTTGGTGGTGATGATTGTAATGATGATGGCGATGGTGAAGGTGAAGGCGAAGTTGATTGTGATGGTGGTGATGATCGTGATGGTGGTGATGATGATGATGATAAGGATGATGATGGTGATGACCGTGATGGTGATGGGGAAGGTAAAGGTGACGGTGAAGTTGATGGTGATGGTGATGGTGATGAGAGTGATGGTGAGAGTGAAGGGCTTGTACCACATCGTTCTCCAGTAAATCCCGTCGGGCAGGAGCATGTAAAGGTACCTGATCCACTTGAACAAGTACCACCATTAAGACATGGGGTAGACGAGCAAGGATCAGCTGATGAAGCAAAAAAAAAAACACACAAAGATAATTGACCTCGTTGTGAGTGAGCAAGTAAGGTAATATGAGCTAACGAAAATGTTTCATTTTCCATACCATTCAGATCCCCACATTCATAACTGTTGCCATTCTCAGTTAGGTAACATGTCTGACCGTTAGGGCAATAGACATTGGCACATTTTTCCTCTGAAAAAGACATACGTTTACAAATAGGTTAAATAATGAGACCACAGGTTTTTTGGCGTTCCCTTATGAACTTGACTGCCCCGAGATCAGGAGCTAAATGGTAACGACGTCCACAGGAGGCTATGTGTTAAAAAAAGACGTTAACTTAGGGATTTATGATGCGTCATTGTGTAATCTACTAAACTAGCTGTCTTTTCCAAACGTGACTGCCAAAGTAGACTTCCAGTTTTGTTGTTGTTGTTGTTTCTCTACCAGGCACGTATAAGGCCTCGACGAACCCCAAACCGTAATGCACTATGTCGATCGAAAACGCTTTTTCTGTTGGTTTTTCGGATTACTTATGATATGAAGAACTCGAATGTCAGATTCTAGCTTAGTCTTCAAATTCAGAGCATAACACTTTGGCGGACCAGATTTGCATTATTCCTCATATCATACTCGGGGTCACGTTCCTGAAATTTATCTTGTTGTGATAGGATTATTCTTATTATCTCTTAATAAATAACAGTATAATCAACATTTTAAAGGATTACTCACCTTCCACCCCGTTGGTACAGTATCGCCATCCATTTGGATTACAGGTATTTTTAAATTCAACAAGCTTGTACATGTAAAAAGCACCACAGTTTATAACCTCAATGGAAGCAACATTTTGGCAAGCATGATTTTTTGTACGGGAGCAAATTGTTCTCGTGACCTTGCCCTCGCGTGGGTTAGGATGATTTCCTTGGAGATAAAGTTGCGTCTCTGTCCCACAGGCGTATTCATCCGGGACTGTTACAGCTGCTAACGCGTTGCCGGCGTTTCCTGACACTTTGTACCAGTAATCCCACTCATTGGCTAGGTCATTTTTGTCACATTTGTCATCACTGGACGAGATATAACTCACTTTCCGATCGCCATTGTTTAGATCTTTGTAATTTCCATCGATACAAGGATCATTTCCTGCTCATGTAACAAAAGAAGCCTGGATTAATGAGCGGAGACATTTAATTCTGATAAATTATTTCATATTAAGCTGACAAAGGAGTGCAACGAGGAGGAGTGGGCAGAATATTTTAAAACCTTTCCACGCACTAACTTATATTCTGCTTATATTCTGGGTAGTCAGCTCTTTACTAAGCTGTTGTTATCTGTGGGCAGAAATTTAACCTCTCCACGCGCTAACTCTGCGAGCACTTTTAAAAGTATTATGCATTTTATTTGATATTTCACCCCTGCTTAATGATATCATTTTGCTTTTCTATTTTTGAGAATTTAGGCCTCTCGCGGCTGACTGAACGCTTTTCTTTTGCAGTGAATTGAACTCACCAAATGGATCAATTCTCAACTTTTTTCATGACAGTGCAGCATACAGTAACCTGTGTTTATGATTTTTGGAAAAGAAGTGCCACGCACTTAAGTAACATGTCTGGAAATACGTGAATAGCCTGGGTACCTGGCGAGATTCGTGGGCGAATGCTGTTGTTTCTCGGCGGCGGAGCCGAGGGAAGATTGGGAGCAAGTCAAATTGAAATCCTGGGATTTTCAAGAACGGCTACTCCGCTCGCTTCGCGTTGCGGCTCCGCCGGCAAGAAAGTACCCAGGGCTACATCAATCCCGAAAGAAAGGACATGCTATCGTACTTCCCATGAATTATTCTATACGGTATTTACGCACGAGTTGTTGACATATCAGAAATCGAATGAGTGGGATTTTATCAGAAGTCGAATGAGTGGGATTTCTGATACAAAAACGAGTGCGTATACGCAGTGCAAAGCACTTTCCACGTGGTATTGTGCTTATTATATACATACTGAGACATTCATCATTTTGGCAACCTTTTAATTTCAAATCTTTCCAAAATACTAAACTTTGCCTCTACACACAGCGAAATGACAAACAAAAGGAAGCATCTGCTTATTAGTAGAAACGTTTGTTAATAATGTTAATGAGGGCGAGGTCTTGAGGTTATCCAAGAATTGCATGTAAGGTAAAACTTTTTGTTCTGAAGGCACAATTGAAAATGCATGAATAAAAACATGTGGATAACCGCTCCATTTAGACATTCGGAGTTTTTCTACTAAGATACCTACAATTTGGGGTCTTGCTTTTCACATTTTATTTCCAAGGTAAAGCGACTACTGTTAAAAAGGGTACCCCTGAAAAATTTCGGTTTAAAGACAGCAAACGTCCCCTCAAACTTTCTAAGGAAATTATGGCTCCTCCATGCATACATATAGTCAAACTTTCGACCAGACTCATCAGGTGCGGTAGCTGAAAGTTTTGGATGAAACGAAAGAGCCACCTAAAACTTTCGAGACGACCAATATTTCCGGGAAACTCTCCTACAGATAAACAGCTTATTGAGGGCAATAATACCTAAGCTGTATCCCACCAACAAGATACTGAAGTCAATGTACGTATTACAAATAGATTTTCATTCTTAAATCTAAGTCATGATATTGAAATAATGTATTTCAAATCGTTTTCATTAAAAAATCGTAGAAATGCCGTATTAAAATAATAACTCGCATCGATATTTATTTAGCGTTTTCAACTTTCTAACTATAAGCTTCTTTATTACGGGCGTTATTTTAATTTACTTTCCTCTTGGTGAAATTAATTTTATTTTGTGATTTGAATTCGAATCGACGCTGGTTGTTTAATTCCGACACCGTGTCATTTTTTTTACTATTATTATAGTTATGACAGACTCGCGATGATTAGTTGATATCGATATTGTGGCTCGAATATGACGAACACAAACTTTAAAATAAATAATCTACTTGATTTACCTACTCAGGCAGGGAAAATCTGTTAAAGATTAGTCCGTTTTCGGTTTAATTTTCACTCTTTAAAATAAACTCTTTTTTCCTAGTTTACCCTCATCTACTCTTACACAACGCTTTTTATTGGTATGTTTTAAAGGTTCTTGCCGGAGGAGTGGACTCACTGTTTAGAAACAATGTGTGTTAAAATATTAATAATGTTCATTTTAGTCTGACAGTTTTCACATAAGAAAGTAGCCATTTATTCAAAGATACTATTTAAAGGTATTTTCAGACTACAAGTAGAGTCACTACTCTGGGACAAATCTTGACTATTTATCATTAAGCGCTAGACAAGAAGTGTTAACTGGTAAACTATAGGACGTCGTCTAACATTTCCTTTCATTATATTCATGTCCGAAGTTTAAAAGCTTTGTTGCAATGAATAAAACAAACGCTGCATTACCTTTTCGTAATGTACATGTAACTTGGTATATTTCAATTGATGCTTTTGATTCAGAATCTATTTTTCATTCCTGGCTTACCGTAAGCTGTTAGGTTTTGTTTCTTAGTAAATCATCAGTTATTGGTTAGTTTTGACGTTTTACGTTTTATCTGTTGAACAGCGGGAATCTTAAAAGCACCTTTAGGCAATAGCAAAATAAATAGAAAAAAAAAAATTGTCACGAAATTTTGTATTCCCGTGTTTTAAAGACTGATACTGAGAAAAGACCTTTACTGAGGAGTTCCACGCGGATTGTCCGTTTTTTAAACTATTAAAAATTCGACGAAACAATTGCCTCAAAAATCTCATCATCAAGATATTCAAACCGGCCGCAAAAATCCCACGTACATCTTATATGTATTCTCGCCATGGGTGCAAGCCCTTCTTCATCTATACCGTAATTTCTCGGGAAAACAACTTTAAATAACAGTTGTTCAAGGCATCTTTAAGCTTACCGGTATATCTCTTAGGACCGGTTCAGACGCCGAACTTTTCATGAACCGAACCTAATTCGAATTAAGGTCGACCCAAACTATTTAGATCGCCTGAATTGATTCAGACGCCGATCTTAATTCCTGCCGAACTAAATTCAAAAGAAGAAAAATGCTCATTTTCGTGAAACTGCTTGCAAAATACATTGTTATAATTTATATGCATTAGGTTCGGTACATAAAAAGTTCGGCGTCTGAATCAAAGCCGTTCCACTAAAAGTCCCCCCAAAGGTGAAATTCCCGGCCGGGCTAGAACGGCTGAGCCGTTTCAAATTGAAACAGGCGTTCCTAATTATTTCAGACGCCGAACTTTTCATGTACTTAATTCAATGTATTAGTCTTCGGCTCGTGAAAAGATCGGCGTCTGAACCGGGCCTTACTCTTAATCTATTATTATTCACTTTACCTACCTGATCAGTTGTGTTAGAACATTGCCCGGTATTGCAATACATCTATTTTTTTCAGTGGCAACGAAATGATAAGGCAAGACAAGAGAAAAATATCATTGATGGCAAAGTAGCATTTAAGGACAGTAATGAAACTATGTTTATCTTTTGAGAAGTATAATCTGTGAAATTTTATTGCGATTGTTTGGATCAGAAAAAATGCGTTATAAGACAAAGAAAAGAAGTAAATCGCCTTTATCGTTTTAACTTGAGTTTTACTTGCAAATTTAGAACCAAACCTTTGCTTGTACATATTGCTCATATATTAAAGTTTCCAACATAATCGTTAAGGTCTGGCTTTGAAGTTTAAAAACTTGAAGGTCTGATAAACATCTCGGAATAAATACCTTTCCCACAAGACCAACAGAGAACGCAGACAAAAGCTGTTAAAACCTGTTGATACAATAACATGATGACATATAAATTAAATGACTGGAAAAAGGGAACGGTTTTCTTAAGGAAATGGTTATACAGTTACCTCGTTCATTCTTCCCTTTCGAATTTGAGTGCTTGTTCTTTGCGACAGTAAAACGTAATTCACATTAACTTTCGAATTAGCTCGAGTATTTTTGTTATGTTAAAATATCATTGTTGGAAAGCTAAATTCAATCAGCCACACACTGGCGCCCCACAGAAAACTATTATATGGAGCTGGCAGCTTCTCTGTTTCCCGTTTTTTTCAATGAAATGTCACCAGTTTTCCCCGGGCATACATATGAATTGAGTAAAGTGGATACGGCTTTTTTCCAGACTGGTTAACAAACATCACCGGGGTAACAAAAGGTGAAAAGGAAGAAAACAAAGGAAATTAATTTAACCGATGATGGAGTTAAAAAAAAACTATCCCGTTATTAATAAACTGGTGCCTTTGCGAATTCCTCCCAAATTACATATTTAGTATATTTTTTCTTGGAAAGAAAAAAACATGAGACAAAACTAACAGTGAATTAAATTAATTTCATAGCCAAATTTCGTTATTTAGAGAGTATAGTGGTCAGTTACTAAGACTTCATGTGTCAATGTTGCGGCTGATGGATCTAATCTTAAAATCTGTTTTACAACAACGGAAATTAATTTTGAATTTTTAGAACAGTTGACTTTTTTATGCAGGGGTTTATTAACCGTACCAGAGAAAAATTTACCGTTAGCCTTTGAAAAAAATCCTATACTAAAATACTTAAACCTTTGACTGTTTTACCCTCACCCCGTTGAATTACTCATAAAAGGACGCCTCAGATATGTAATTAGCTTCATTCAATTATTTAGTCCACACCTGTGGAGAGAAACTACGAGAATAACATACAAATATAAACAAAATGTTAGGAGTGTTTTGTATAAACTAATATTGAAAATGCTTATGCTAAAACGATACCTGAGGAAAGTAAACAGTTTACCTTGGGAGTTCTCCTAAATTCCCTCGGGGATGGTCATCAAGCCATACCAGGATACACAAATGTACCATTTATAAAAGTAAAAGCCTTTTGTATACCCTGAGTTACCTAGCAACCACTTACAAGGTGAATTATGAACCTTTGAACCCTGCGTATTCAAACAGGGAGAGTAAAGTTCAGCGAGAGATATCCAACTGCATGAGACAAACAGGGAGAGAAGAATACCATTCGATCATCCAAAGGTTTGAACGATCTGTAATTTATCGAGTTCAAAAAATTAGACAAAGAGAACAGTCTAGAAAAACATTTTGTACATGTACATATAAGGTTTTAGAATTTTCTAGCATTTTTTATAGATTTAAAGCTAACAGTATCAGGCATCAGCTTTTGTTTTCGTTTCGTTTCGTTTTGTTTTGTTTTGCTCTCAGCAGAGGCACGTTTTTGAAAAAAAGAAAAAAGCGTTTGTAGAATTTTATGCGTGTACAGAAGGTTCTAGGACTGATTTCCTCAGCCAAATTATTAGGCTTTAAGTTTGAAACTATACACCAACCTGTCATGCATTATTGTTCACTGAAGTTATTTCGCCGTTTGTGATTGATCCCACTAAAAAAAAAT